GCTTTGGGCGCTGTCATAAACACACACACAACACCCACCCAACCCGACGCCTTTCACATTTCCTGCACTCCATGCACTGCCCAACCTCCCTCCCTTCCCCCTTCCCCCTCCTTCCCCCCTCCCCGCTCCCCCCCCAGCTTCTCTCCTCCTCGCTCTCCCGGGTAATGCTGGTGGGCCTGGAGGTGGCGGTGGAGCTGGCGGCGGCGCTGTCCGACTCCTCGCCGCAGCTGGCGTGGCTGAGGTACGGCGGACCCGCGGGTCGGCGCATCCGGGCGGAGGTGGCACAGCAGGCGGAGGCGGTGCGGAGGTTCATACTGGACCGGGTGATTGAGGCTCCGGATAGGTTCCAGGTAGGAGTGCGGAGAGGGGGCTCCGTATAACTGGGACTAACTGGGATGGAGAGTGCAGGCTGCAGAGAGATGGGAGTTGGGACGCATGCGTGGTAAAGCAACCTAAGCAACTGTCTGGGTAGGCTTCTAAGAAGGCTACTGACATTAAGCCCTTCTAACCAGGTTTCAGGTAAGGTTGCAGTGGACTAACCCACCCTACCCTCTTATTTCCTTGCCCTTACAGTGGGAAAAGGAGTGAAAACGAAAAGGAAAAACCACATTCCTTCTGAAGGTTCCCCCTCTCCCGCCGCTCCCCAGGCCATTCAGACCCACCGCGCCTGTCTGGCGCTGCTGCGGCAGCAGGTGGCGTTCGTGCGCTCGCTGCACCGAGCGGGGCTGGTGGAGGCGGCGGAGGCGGAGGCGCTGCGGGAGCCGCTGGAGAGGAGGATGTGGCGGCTGGAGATGGGGGGCCCCAGGTGCGGGCTTGTGGGGGGAGGGGGAGGGTTGTGACAGATTGGGGGTTTGGGAGAGCGGTGGAGTGAAGGAGGGGTTAAGGTGAAGGGATTGGACGATCAAAGAGGGGTAGCCACCGTGAGTTTGGACGGGTGCCAGCTGCATGGGCTTATACCTGACCCAGGGTGATTAAGGTACCTCGTCTCTCCCTGCCGTGTACCTCCCTCCCCCCACCTCAGGTGGCAGCAGCCCAGCCTTTCTCAGGTGCTGTCAAGCAGCCCCATGCTGCGGGGTCTGCTGGGGGGAGTGGCAGGAGGGGCGGCGGCAGGGGCGACCGGAGGGCGGGTGGGGGACAAGGCGGGGGGGGAGGGCCGGCAGCAGCAGTTGCAGGCCCGCTACCAACAACAGCAGCCGCAGCCGGCCGGGGAAGGAGAGGAGGCGGCGGCGGAGGAGGAAGAGGCAGCCTCAGCAGCAGCTGCAATAGCAGCCGAACCCGGTGGTGTGGTGTTGGAGTGGCTGCGGGGCCGAGGGGAGCTGGTGGCGGTGGCGCGGGGGGCGGACCTGAGTCCGCTGCTGGCGGGGGGCGGGGTGTTCATTGTAGTGGGGGGCACGGTGCGGGTGAGTGGGGGGAGGGGGCGGGGGTGGGAGTAGAGGGGTTGGGAGGTGGAGGGAGCGGTGATGGGAACGATACGGCTTGCCCAGCAACCTTCCAGTGCCCTCCCTACTTGTTTCCCGTTCCAACACACGTCCCCCACCCCGTCCCCCACCTCCCTCCTTCCAGGTCTCGCTAGTTCCCCTTCCCACCGAGCAACACCCCCACCCACCGGACACCATCTCCACCTCCTTCACCTCCACCTCCACTTCCCCCAGGGACCTCAGCACCCCCGCCCCTCACTCCCACACCGCCATTCCCACACCGCCTACCTCCGCCCCCGCCCCCCAGTACTACGTGGGTGTGGGCGGGGTGGTGGGGGTGAGTACGGCACTCGTGGGACGTTCCGTACCCGGAATGGGTGTGGCGGCGGCGGTGGCGGAGGGCAATGCGTTGGGTCGGGGTCCGGTGGTGTTTGCGTTGCCGGGGGAGGCGGTGGCGGAGGTGCGGGCGCGGGCAGCGGCGGGGCAGCGGCCCTTCCGACTGCTGCTGCTGAACATGTACAGGTGGGTGTGTATGAGGGAGGGGGAGGGGGTGGAGAGAGGGTGTGGGGGGCGGGGAGGGTGGGTGGGCGGAAAGGGCAGAAACCGTGCAAGGGTGGGGTGGGGGGATGTTAAACATGCAAGGGTGTTAGGGTTGAGGTGCCCTGTATGAGAGATCTGGGGCGGACGGATGAAGGAGCGCTAGATAGGGCAGGGTTGGGCTCCTCCGCCTCCTAAGGTCCTAACCGTTCCTCGTCTCATTCCCCCGACATGCGCAGGCTGGTGGGGGCACACGTGCTAGAGCGGCAGCGGGCCCCCCTGGTGGCGCACATAGCCGCGGTGCTTGCGGGGGCGCTGGCGGAGGCGGAGGCGGCGGAGGCAAGGGAGGCGGAGGAGAGGCAAGTGGCGGAGGCGGCAGCAGCGGCGGCGGTGGCAGCCAGGGGCAGGGAGCGGGAGAGGGAGAGGGAGCGGAGGAGGAGGGCGGCGGCGGGGCTGCGGCTGGTGACGGCTGCGGAGACGGCTGCGAGGCTGCGAGAGGCGATCATGACAGGAGGCAGCGGGTGAGGTGGGGGGCGGGTGAAGGGGGGGGTAGGGTGGGTGGAGAGAAGGTGCGGGGCTGGGTGTCGTGAATGTGGGGAGACTATGGACGAGAGGTTATGTTGGGAATGGGTAAGGAATGGGGTAAGGAAGGAGTTAGACATCGTGGCAAGGGGAGCTCGAACGGGCCTCCCCTAACTGCTGTGCTATCCCCACCCCCGTCGCAGTGCCACCGCTGCCACCACCACCACCACCATCCCCACCACAACTCAAACAAGCCTGCGGCAAAAAGAAACCGCCGTACTGGAGGAGATGTACGGCAACCAACCGCCAGCTCCCGCCAGCCTCCTGCGACCCATGGGTCACGTCCCCAAACCGACGCTGGGCGGTGTTGCTGGTGGTGCTGCGGCTGCTGCTGCCGGCGGCGCTGGCGGTGGCATCGCCCCTGCTGCGGCCCATGTGTCTCCCGTCAGTAGCGGCGGCAGCCTCAGTGAGAACGAGGAGGATGAGGACGAGGAGGGTGGGGAGATGGAGGAGGAGGCGGAGGAGCTCGTGAGTGAGCTGGAGGAGGAGGCAGAGGCGGCGGCTGAGGAGGTAGTGGAGGAGGAGGTGGAAGCAGTGGAAGAGGAAGGGGAAGAGGAGGAGTTCCTGGCGCAGGATGGGGAGGAGGATGGGGAAGTGCCTTCCCGAGGCCGAGCGGGCAGGAGAGCGGGAGGAGGGGGTGGTGGCAGTGGCAGTGGCAGCAGGGGGAGGAGCAAGAGCAGGGGCCGGAGGAGCGCATCGGAGTTCGGGGGCCGGAGGGCGGCGGCAGTTGCTGACGAGGAGCTGAGTAACAGGCAAGTCGGGGAGGGGAAGGGAGGAGCACAAGGCGATGTGGGCTAGACAAAGGAACACCGTTACACGCTACACACCGCCAGCACGTTCGCACCCCCCATCCCACCCACCCCACAACCCTCTCGCACCTCACCATCCCAACCCACTGCCCCAGATGTCTGGACCGCGCTGCCGCAGTGGTGGAGGCGGTACGTCACTCTGTGAAGAGGTCCCGGCTGCTGCTGCTGCGGCCGGGGGCGCCGCTGCTGCAGACATGCACCCTGCTGCTGCTGAATGGAACCCTGCTGCAACACCCGCTCGAGGAGGAGGAGGAGGAGGAGGAGCAGGAAGAGGAGTGGGAGGAGGAGGGAGAGGACCGTGGTTTTGCTCCCGACCAGTTTAGCAGGCAGCAGCAGCAAGGACAGCAGCAGGAGGGGTTCAAGGAATCCCAGCCGCCGCAGGAGGGGCGTGGGGCGGGAAGTGACGGCGACAAGCCGGCCGCCTGTCCCTTCCCCTCGCACCTGCCTGTGTTGCGGCCTCCCTGCATCCTGCTGTGGCTGCCGCACCACTGCGACCCCGCGCTGGCAGTGATGCTGCGGCGGGCGGACAGCATACGCTACACGGCGGGTGAGAGTGGGAGCGGGGTATGATGGGTATGAGGGAGAGGGAGGTTGCATGGGGCAGGGGCACGGGCAGGGGAGGGAGGAGGGATGCGCAGGCGTTGTTCCTGGGCGTCCTCACGCACACCCGCTAGAACCTCTGTAGCCACGCTAGCTAGGCTCCCCCAGAACACCCGTTGCTGCTGCTGCTGCTGCGTCTGAAGGCACCTGTCGCTTCCCTCTTCTCGCCCCCTTGTCTCCCTCCTCCGACCCCAGGTCCCCACGGAGCCACGGTACTGGTGTGCGAGGAGGGGGAGCAGCAGCAGGAGGGGGAGCAGCAGCAGGAGGGGGAGCAGCGGGAGCTGGTGGAGTACCGGTAGGGGGTTGAAGAGGCGGGCGGGAGGGCGGACAGGAGGACTGGATTGGGGCGCAGGCGGCGCAGGGGCAGGGAGGGGAGGCAAGGGTTGAGGCTGCTGAGAATGGAGGAGGCGTCTGTGTTTACGTATGAGCCGCGGCACAGTATTTTGCCAGGTGATGCACTATACGGCAGGCATGATGAGGAACATCTGAGATCAGTTTCTTTGGAGTTCGGCGCAAAGGCGTTGGTGGCTTGCGTTGTACATAGACGGCGGGCGTAAACGTCCGTGAAGTGTGACACGGCACATACCGATACACACATTGTGCCGTACGTCGTTAAACGCCTCTTGAGTCCGTATGAGTGCCGAGTGCGATATTGATGGGTAGTGTAGAGGTGGGATCTTGCAGCCAACAGCTGTATGCATGTTGCCAGTCGTTGTGCTGACTACTCGCATGCAAAACCCATGTGCTTACTACCCATACATCCTCCGGCGGTGCATGCACTGTCAGACCAAGGGAACGGTGTGAAATGCCCCATGCAGCTGTTGTAGTGTGCTTTGGCCGTTGGTAGTTGAAGGATGGCTGTCGTTGCTTGGTGGGCGAAAGGGTTGCTCGTTGTTGTCGGCTGAGGCACATGCCACACCTTTTGATGTCACACGGCTGATGTGTGTGACATTGAAAAGGATCGACGTTGACAACAGTTGGTATGTGTGCAGGGGAGCGAATCAAGCGCCAGTGTGCTGGGGTAGGCAGAGCGGCTGTACGAGATTGGGCGCAATCGATAGACCTCTTCTACACAGCATGCATCAGCAGTGGCAGGCATGACACACCAGGTTGCTAGATAGGGCAGCCAGGCGAGGAATGGAGGTCATGTGTGCCTGCTGGCAGTTTCCCCTAACAACATTCAACAATCCAAAATGCCAGTCTAGCTATACAGCGCTGCACCACATCTTCAGGCACTAAGTATGGTATCCCGCAGGACATCCAGCCGTTCATGCATTCCCCGCACTGCCATGTGCTGACATGCATGCCGACTTCACCCGGGTGCACCCACCATGGCCACCTTGTCGCCCAAGAGCTTTCATGACGCGCAGTATCCGTACAACTAAGTACTGCATGTACATAAGCAATCCCACGTCCACAGGAGGGCACCACCGTGCAATCGGCCAGTCTACTACCAGGTACCAAGCCCAACAAAGGTCCTAAAAGTACGCCAAGCAAAACAAATCAAGCACCAACAACGCTGGAGAGTCACCAGCAGTGCACTGTATGGGGCGTGGCTCTAAGAGCTATCCACCTCCTCGCCCGTAGTTCAGCTACAGCAGGCACATAGTATGCCAAATTCTCTGTAAAGGACTGTATATCAACTGAGCCACAGAACTGACACTGACTATGTAGTAAGTGGGCACAGGTACCACTATGTCACCCGACCGCCCCTGCATTAGCAGGCTTCCAGCTCCAGCCTGCCTAAGGGCATCCAGCCGTTGAACTCCGCCCGCACGAGCGCCACAGCAGCCTCCAGCCACGCGCGCGTGTCCTCATCCTCAAAGTACCCAATCCAGATCTGCCTCAGCTGCGGCAGTGGCCCACACACCACCGACCTCGAACCCTCATCATCACCAGCACCGCTACCGCCGCCCTCACGACCTGCCTCATGGTGGCCAGCAGCAGCCCCAGCGCCATCACAGCTCGGACCAGTAAGGGCCAGGAATGCGGCTGTGATCGCATGCTGGTGCTGCGTGGACCAGGGGTAGTCACAGGCCCAGTCCTCACAGTCTACCTCCAGGGTGTGGAGCTGCTGCATGCCCGTCAGCAGCGGCAGTGAGGCGACGTTGTAGGAGCAGCCAGACAGATCCAGGACCTGTTTTTTTGGGGGGGGGGGGTTGACAATACTGAAGCAGTGAGATCTTGGCTTTGGTGAGATTCTCTTCTTTAACTACCTTGATGAATGATGAAAAGCAGCAGTCACAAAAACTATCATCCTTGTTAGACCTTGCAACATGCTTGACATTTATTTGACAGAGCAAGCAACCCGCTATGCAGGTACCGGTGACCAGCTAACCACCACCACCAGGTGCCGCCAGTAGCCTTACCTTGACATGCGCCATGCACCTCGCCAGCCCTAGCATGTCATGCGGCAACACAGCAAAGCTGGACAGAGACAACACCTCTGGCTGCAGGCACGCCAGCTCCCCCAGCCATGCACGGCAGTGGCTGCCATTGCTGCCGTCCGGAGCCCGGGGCGGCCGCACGCCCGTCTTGCCCCACACCCGCACTTGGATTCCCCGTTGAAATGTATGGCCGCGCCACCTGCAGGGTTCAAGGCCGAACCCACGGCGGACTACAGCAACTGCACGCAGCATGGCAGCCACCGCGCCAGCGGTCAGGCGTCCTTCATCATCTACATCGCCGCTGTTGGAGAACTCCAGACACAGCGGTTCGGCCCCAACCACTGCCAGCCTGCCCCCCGCCGTCAAGCAGCATGGTGAGTGGCCTGCTGGCTTCGGAGAAGCCAGCTGCTGGGTTTGCAGCATGGCTGCAGCAGACACCGCCAGTGGTGCGTTTGTGGTGAATTGTTGGAGCCGTGGCGGCAGTACAAGTGGCTGGGCACCCGGCAGCAGCCACATGTGTTGCACCAGTTGACGTGCCAGTGGCCCAAACACGGAGCCTACATGGAGGCGAGTCAGAGACGGCAGATGCGGGAAATCCTCCGCTTCCACCAGCACTGGGACCTGCAGCTCGGCCAGGTTGGGCATGCAGCAAAGTGCATCGCCCAGCTCCCGCCACTCCTCCAGCGAGGCACGAATCAACATCCCCGCCTGCTGGGGTTCTCCCTGCTCCACCAACTGTACTATTCGGTCCTCGATACTGCTGGTGTCTGCTGTGTAGGGCATGTCCGCAAAGTCATCCCTGTTTGGGTAGTGCTGCAGACGGGCTAGGTTCAGCTTGAGGCGGGTGAGGGCCGTCAGCCCGCTGAGACATGACTCCAGGGTGGGGGCGCTGGCCAGCCGCTCGGCGGGGGTGGGTGGTGGGACAGCAGAGCTGGCCCGCAGGGGAGAGTCGGCCAGGTGCAGAGACTGGAGCCCAGAGAGGGACGCGATGGACTTTAACAGGAAGAGGTCAGCTGTAGGGAGAATGGAAAAGGGGGGCAAACGGGTGTTTTTGAGTGTTTCAAGCAAGGAGCAACAATCAAAGGGACCGGACCAAAGGGGATACGTGGTCGTGCCATCTTTTTATAGCAAAACTGGATTAGTGTCACGGAGGAAAAGGGCCTTTCATACCTAAGCACAATATCACGCACGACTCCTTACATGCATGAGGCTTCTACGTATGCGGGCAATGCCGTTACCGTGCGCGGCTTGCTTACCCGGGACACCCTCAACAGGGAGCAAGTCATCCTGGGAAGTCAGTTCCAGCTCCCGCAGCGCTGTACAAGCTGACAAGCTACGGAAGGCCCGTGTGGGCCAAACGTCCTGAGAGCCATCCAACATGCGGAACTCCAGCTTTGTGAGACGAGGCCCCAGCAACCGCAGCAGCTCCTCCCCTGCAGCGGCTGCTGCGTCGGTGTCCACGGGGGCTGCTGCGGCTGACGCAATGCTCTGACCACCGCAGGTCAACTGAATGCTGGTCAGTTTGGGGCTGACAGCAGCCATGGCAGACACCACAGCTGGTGTGAGAGGCAGCTTGGTGCTCAGCCGTAGGTTCGTAATCGAGCCGGCCTCTGACCAGGTGTTCAGGAGTAGTAATCTGCGGAATAAAACGACAGGCAGCCGGTTGAGGTGTATGTGTTACAAGGTGCGCAAGTGTAATGCCGACTAGGGTTGTGAGAGGGAGGATTCCAGAGGGCATGAAGAACACGCAAAACGGACTTTACCAGCTCAGACTTACAACTTTTCCACATCCTTCTGGCTGTCCTGTGAGGGTGGCAAGGCAGCGTTGAGGCTTGTGGGTCGACATCCCCTCGAAAGCAGGCTCCGGATTGAACGGACCATGCCGTCAGGCGACACCTCATTGTGGTCAAACGGATGCTGTGCAAACGAGCTGCTGCTAAAGCCAACGCCTCTGGCGAACTGGTCGTGTACATCGCGAGCCGCCATGCAGACTTGCCGAAAAGCCATCGCTTCCCGTGGTAGCATGTATGTTTTGTTTTCAAATAGACATCGAAAAACTAACACGAGCTTGCGAGAAGCTGACTGTGAAAGGCAAATGCAATGCCCGGGGTCGACCGTTTCAGCCATTTTAGGAGTTTTTTACGATAGTGTAACGCTTCTTTCAAGCGGTGACAGCCCAGTCGGACTACAGGCTAGACACGTCGGCGACGGTATAGGGGTCTGAGACCGGTGCTGGCCTTTGTTTCTTCTGGTAACCCTGTTTCTATCTCCTGGTCACACTTGAACACACAGCGACAAACTGCTGGTTATATCAACCTTCATAGGTTGCGCGTTATTGTTTGTCAGCGTTGCCTGTCCTGGCGAAGTACGGAAAACACGGACTGTCTTGGATCAACACTAGTAGGCCATGAAGGCTGGACGTAACTGAAAAACTAGTTAAGTCTATTGGTTTAAGTGGTAGGTGTTAAGGCGCTTATGAAATAGCTTTTCTCCCACAGTGACTGGGTATTGCCTGGCATCGAGACCGAAATGCTGGACTGCCCAAACGATGGTCAGTATCGTGCGTCCATTAGCATCACAAGCTGCCTGGCAATGAGTGGCCTTGTGGTGCTACGAAACACCGGACAACTTGCTGTACAAGTCAGGCACAATTAGGTTACAAGGCCCCCAAGGAACATTGGCATGGCGTACCGTACGGTACATAATTCGAGTTCCTTTTATCTAGCTCCCTAGCACCCACCACATAACACTATTGGGACTTCTCTTCTTGCATGTATAATTACTGCAGCGAGGCTTCTACGTTCTATCCATTACTGGTCCAAAAGCAGCCATCAGCTGTGGTATCTTGGAAAATTGCACAACGGCTCTAGTGCAGCTCCCAAAAAATTATCATCCATTGCTTAAGCGCCTAGCATTGCATTCCCGGTGCAAAACGTTGACTAGCCGTCTGCAGGAATACGTAGGTTTGGCGGTCATGATATGATGAATAAGCGAAGCCAGCAGCACGAGACCGACTGCGGCAGGGCAACAGTGTGCATCCGTCCCTGTAGCAGGCAAAAGTAATCCAGCGACCCATGGGTCAAACATGCTAGCCAGGATAGAGAAAACATGCGGCGGGTTGATGGGTAATGTCATGCTCCTACAGTGACGATATGCCCTGTGTATGAGCCGTCACTAGTCAAACACAATGCGCTCACACCCAGGCCTACGTACCGGCCCCTGTCCTAACCGCACTTTGCGAACCATACAGCAATAAGGTAAAGGCCACCCACCATCTGCATCACCCACTCGTGACCTCCAGCCTTCCGTAGGCATTCCAGCGACGAAACTCCTCCCGAGCCGGTGTAACCGCATCCTCCAGCAACGCAATCTCCGGCTCTGAGCCCTCCTTGCACACAATGGATATCAGCTGCAGCTTTGGCAGCGGCCCCACGTGGCTGCTGCCCTCAATACCTGGGTTCTGTAAGGCGCCACCAGGGCCACCAGTGGGTGTGGTCAGCGGTGAAGTAAGTCCCAGGAACGCGGCCATGATTTCCTGCCGATCGGACCAGGCATCGCTGTATTGCCAAAACTCTATCGACAACTGCAACTCTCGCAGCCGCTGCATGCCTGCAAGCAGTGGCAGTGAGGCTACGGAGTAGTCGCAGCCACGGAGGTCCAGAACCTGTACGCGTGTATGTGCACACGGCATGAGAGGGCATCGATGTTTGGGGGTTGTGGTTGGTTGGTGCGGGCGCGCCAGTGACAGTGCGCGAGGAAAACCAAACGGCGGCATTGCACTACCGGTATCATAACTTTATAAGGGCAATCTTGCAGCCACCAAAAAAACGAACAAAGGCAGGCGGCACTGCTACCGTACTTACAGAGCAGGTCGCAGGCCGTGAATGCTGGATGTGCAATCAAGCAAGCCGAATCAACCCACGAACCGCTCAGCGATGCAGATGGCAGAACAACAAGTTGCGATGGATGCTACATAAACACTGCTGCCACAATGTCTATCCATCTACCTTACCTGGACACTGGTCATGCAGCGGCCCAGCCCTAGAATGTCGACTGGCGACATAGTAAATCCATCCAGACACAATGCCTCCAATTCCAAGCACGCCAGCTCCCCCAGCCAAGCACGGCAGTGGCTGCCATTGCTGCCGTCCGGAGCTCGGGGCGGCTCCACGCTATCGTTGTACTTCATCCGCACGCGAACCCCTCGCTCCTCCTCATCGGGCCGCCAAGAGACGTGCATAAATGGGCGGAAGCGAAATCCACTCAGCGCGGCCACAGCACGCCGCAAGGCGTCCACTGCGTCAGCCGTGAGGCTACCTTGTTGTTCAGCATCGTCGCTGAAATCTAGACACCAGGGGCTCGCATTGCAGCCCCAAAGCCTGCCCCCCGCCATCAAAGAGCAGGGAACCTGATCCACGCCCTCCACAGGCGGCGCCCGCAGTGCGGCTGCAGTTCGCACCGGCAACGGCGCATGCGTCTCAAGGCGCTGAAGCTGTGGCGGCACCACAATCTTGTAGCCGCTGGCAGCATCACGTGGCACTGCTGCCGCGGCCTCTCCTGGCATTGAGATCAAGCCACATCGGAGATATGTCAGTGTGGTCAGGGTCGACAGGTCTGCTGCATGCACCACTGCTGGAGTCCGCAGCTCCACCAGGCCCGGCATGCAGCGAGCTGCTGCGGCCAGCGCTCGTGACTCTGCTGCCGCCGCGGCCTCCAACGTTGCTGCCACCGCAGGCTGCTCCTGCCGCTGCAGCTCCAAGATCTGGTCATCTAGGCCCCCCACATGGTAATAGACGCCTGCGTAACCTTGCCTGTTTGGGTAATGCTGCAGGCGGGCCAGGTGCATCTCAAGGCGGGTGAGGGCCGTCAGCCCGCTGAGACATGACTCCAGGGCGGGGGCGCTGGCCAGCCGCTCGGCGGGGGTGGGTGGTTCGACACGTGGCCAGCCCCGCCGGTGGCAGTCGTCTGTCAGCTGGAGTGATCTGAGCCCCGAGAGAGGGGCAATTGATTGCAGCAGCAGTAGATCAGCTGTGGTGGAGCGGAAGAGGGCACAAAGAAGGGTTGGCAGAGACAGCAGTGAGTGGTCGGGAGGGCAAATAAAAGAAATGGTGGAGCGAGAGGGCAGAAGGATTGACAGGTCAACTGGGAGCAAGGATGTGCGGCTTGTAAATGAAGCCCATCCAAGTATGCAATTAGACGCAAGATAGGTGCATGCGTGCACGACATATGGGCGCAATAGCTAGGACGTCGTCATTCCTTCTCAGGACAGCCTTCGGAAAGCATAGCCGGGAGGACGGGTACTTTGCCGGTGAACGTACCAGGGACACCATCGGAAGGGAGCAAGTCATCGAAGAATGCCAGCTCCAGTTCCTTTAATGCCGTGCAGTACGACAGGCCGCGAAAAGCCCGTGTGGGCCAGGCGTACTGAGAGCCATCGAACATGCGGAGCTCTAGTCTTGTGAGACGAGGCCCCAGCAACCGCAGCAGCTCTTCCCCAGCTGCGGCTGCCGCGGCAAGGTCGTCCGTAGGGGGTGCTGGTAGTGCTTGGTCGTCTTCACCACACACAAGTACGACGCGAGCCAGTTTTGGACTCAAATTTGCTATGGCAGAGACGACAGCTGGGGTAAGAGGTAGGTCGATGTACAGCAACAGGTCCGTAACGGAGGCAGCCTCTGCCCACGAGGTCAAGAAGGTTAACCTGTGTTCATGTGCGGGGAGGTTTGGCATGGGACTAGACGTAGACAACTACGTAGCACGGCGGCTAGGTTGTTGCTAGACAGGGATTTAGAAGCCAATCGACGAGGACGGGCTCCCGGCATCCCACAGCTTACAGCTTGGTCTCGTGTAATAGCTTGTACGGTGGTGGTGGCTTTTCAATTATCATGGTTGTGGGCCGGCAACCCCTTGCAAGGATGCCACGGATTGCAGCCGCGACATCGTCCGATGACAGTAAGTTGAGGGCAGAAGGGCCCTGCAAGCTGTTGGCTTTAAAGCGAACTGTCCTGGCATGCTGGTCATGGAGGTCGCGAGCCGCCCTGCAGACGTGCCGAAACGTCAACTTGTCTGTAGGGTCTAACTCGATGTTCGCTAGAACGCACTGAAAAACCAACACGAGCTTAGGTGTAGCTGGTTGTGTGAAACAGCTGTCGCTACCAAAGTTTGATAATTTGGCCATGTCCAAGAACGCAGCGTTTCCTCTATGTTAGGTTAACCGGAACCTACGGGGCAATTGAGCGTGTGGCCGTGGTGGCAGGGCTAGTATTGAACTAGAATAAGCATGGGAGCGCCCCTCAGGTATCCCTCGCACTAAGAAGATTGATGCACCAGGCCACAAGGCCATAAGATATGCAATGTTTCTACTCCTGTTTGTCAACGCTGTCCTTCGTAGACATTGGATCCTACGGCGGTACGAACCTGTCATGGTCGGTACTCTGTTGGGCTCAAAGGCCTGCCAAGGACCTATGTTGCCCCTCTTGACGCGTGATTCTAGGCTGATGTAAGTCATAGTCATAATCCTTACCTTGCAAGATGGGAAACCGCCAAAGCGCCCCAAGGCTGTCTGGCAGCGCGGTGGCAATCCTAGGCATCGGCTCTCTGGACCTAGACTGGCAGCAGGACGCCAGCAACAGTTTCTTCACAAGCATATGCCGCACGAGGGCGTACGTTAGCGGACTGATAGTGGAGATGGAGGTGGAGGGCAGAAAACTCACTTTTCGCGTCGATACCGGATCCCTCTCAGTCTTCACCAGCACCGCCTCAGGGAAGGTGCGATGGCTTCTAGATGTTCATCTTTATACCCTTTGGCTCTTAGTTCTGTAAAGCCTGCGCCGCGCCAGTACCGGCCCCCTGGGTCGTGAAAAGTCGCGGCAAGGGCTACGAAGCCCTTGCTCGCCTTTTAAGTCGCATGCAACTTTCCCAGCCTTGCTATTCTCAACGCAACCTCCCCTGCAGACCTGCACTTCCTGGTCGCCCTACAGCCATGAAGAACCCTTATGGGAGCGGCTCGTTGGAGACATTCCAGACGACAAGGGCAGCGCCAGCAACTCTCCTATTCGCGAGGAGCTTAAGCTAAGCGGCCAGTGCTCCGTCACTTCCTCAAGCGGCTGGATAGCGCTTTGTGAAGAGGTGGAGGTCAAGTTTGATGTTGCCATGGAGATTGCTACGTATCGAGGCATGAGGCTCCGCCGCGAGTCGTGGTTTTCTCCGCGACGGGTGAGGTCCCTGTTTGGGCTGTGCGCTGACCTTTTGGGGGTTGTCTTGTTTGATAGGACGTGTTTCGCATAACAGGGCAGCTCTAGCTGCCTTCTTGGCAGAGGAGGCTTTGGGGTTGCCCAGGATTCCCAGGACAAAAGGGGGCGGGTGCGCTTGGCCGCGAGTTGCTGATATTGCGCGCTTCTGATACAAGCGATATGAAGCTAACCAAGGAAGTGGCTTTCCAATAGGGTTTTGCAACGCCTGCACAATAGGGGAACGCACCTCGTCGCATTAACGTTTTGCTTCACCGCACGAATCCTGACATCTGGGCTTTGCACCATCCCCAAACAGTACCCCTTCCCTTTCCTTGCCCCCACCCTCCAACCCATCAACAACTCTAAATCCCCTCCCTGCCCCTTCCCCTCCCCCCTCCTTCCCCTCCTAGTCATCCTCGTTGGTTTCCTCTTTACCTCCCCTCCTTCCGGCCTCAGGTCGCCTGCTGCTACGCCAAGATCGAGGTCACCTCACGGCTCACCGCCGAACTGCGCTGGCGCCGAGGCAAGCCCCTGGTCGCTGCACCCGCGCTCATGCTCACCCCCGCATCCGCCGTTCATGCCGTACCTGCAACCACCAAGCAGCAACAGCAGCTGCAGCAGTATCGGCGCCAGCAGCCCCAGCTCTCCTCCCAGGCGGTAACGCCACTGGCGCAGAAATTGAAGCAGCAGAAGAAGGAGCAGCAGCAGCAGTCCCCCTCGTTGCCACCACCGCAGCCGCAGTCCCCATCCCAGCAGCAGCCGCAGCCCACCGTCATGATTGCACTGGATTACATCCCAGCCAACCGGCACTCCTCTTTCTCCAAGTACCTCAAGAAAACCGCCTACCCGCTCAAGCTCCTCTCGCCGCACCGCTCCCCTGCCACGTCCGTCGCCGCCACCGCTGCTGCTTACGTCAAGGAGCAGCCGCAGGATCTGCCGCCGCTTCAGCCACTCGTGTACGGCAAGAACCCAACGAGCGCGCCCGACAAGATCCTCCTGCTACAGCAGCAACAGCCGCCCTCGCCGATTGCTGACCAGGCAGCAGTGATTGACCAAGGGCCGCAAGGTGGCAAGGACGCGGTGCAGGGACAGGAGCAGCTAGGACAACAGCAGCAGCAGCAACGGCAGCTGCTGGTGGAGGAGCTGATGTGTCAGGAGCAGCAGCAGCAGCACCAGCAAGCGGCTCAGAAGGCACTAGCGGCGGTACTCCCGAGCACTCTGGCGCTGTCGCCCGGCATGCCACGGAGCTTCCTGCTCAGCTTTGCGCTGGCTTGAGGTGCGGCCCGACGTGATGTGGCATGGCGTCGGATGGAATGTTGGGGGCGATGGGTTTCAGGCTGGGTTTCACCAGCGCTGGGGTTGTGGAGGGTTGAGGCGTGTCGTGTGGAGACATGTGGTGGTAGGAGGAGGAAGGGCGCTGAGAAAAGCACTGGGAACTGCAGAGTACTCCCTTCCGCGTAAAGAAGGGATTGGGAAGGTCATGTGTGTGTTGGCCGATAAGCAACGACTGGCACAGGCGAGGTCGCAACGACTGACAGCGCACGGAAAGGACGACATCGGCTTAAAGAGCCAGAGCGGTCCTCACTGCCGTGGCCAACAGGAACTGCAGAATGTTAAGTAGCAGGATGTGTTGGGGTGCGGGCGCGTGGGTTTTGTTTGTTTGAAGGCTGCTTTCGTGGCTGGGGTTATGCAGGTGGCCGGTTAACCTATTGGTGGCTAGGGTTGACCGCTAGGCCTCGCTTAAGCCCGCCGTTGTCCTTGTCCACGACCACTTGGTTATGGAAGCGAAGGGAAATGGGAGATTGTTAGCATGCACTGCGGAAGGGGTTCGCATTGGCATTCTGCACGCAGGGTGCGCGTTGTGGCTTTGGGGTAAGGGACACCTGCTAAGGTGTGCAGGTTTGGTTTGGGGGCTGCGCACGTCCGGTTAGTTTGCATGTTTCTCCTTTCGACTTCCGAGCACGCGCGCAGTAACATGCACGACTACACCGTATTGGAAAGACCCATGGGTCATCGTTTTGCGTGATAGCACGCATCCCGCGCCATATGTGCGGTTTTGGAGGGTTTGAATTTAAGCAGCCGTGTCCTGGTGATGTTCTTTGTCATGCGAAGGCTTCCTCGTTATGTCAATGTACACAGCTGCTTGCGCCACGTTTTTCAAAGCGGTTTTTTCGAGGCCAAAGCATGCCGGCGCGGACTGGTGTCAACTGGTATAGGCGCTCCGTGGTCTGTTCGTCTTTGGGCCCATGTGTCCTTTTCCGCGCAAATCCGGGCCGTGAAGCTGTACTTACGTGAAAAGACCGGTGGTGTCGTAAGCCTGAGGGCAGTGAGGCACGCCCCTTTCAATAACCCTTGATTTGCCGGCGCGTTTCCGCCTGTCGCGTTTATGCATGAAGGTGTGTTGATGAGCGCGCAAAGCGGCGTGTGTTACAGAGCGGTTTGCGCAGCATGGTTTCCTCATGTGCATGCTGCTAGCGCGGTTGTGCGACATACAGGCAGAGATGTTTCGACGTTCCTCTTGAGGTGTTGCATTCGCCAGTGCAATCCTATGCGGGCTGCTAAGCCTTCCTGAAGGCCAGAGCAGGGGTTCGATGTGGTCCTCACCGAATTACAGAAATGTGCAAAAAAAGGCTTTTTTACTCCACAATGTGTCGTACTGTACGTACAGCCTTTCTTTACCTACCAACCTATAATTACAGTGACTCCTGCTTGACGTGTGTCACATTTCCAACCACCATGGCTTGGAATGTGCGAGGTGCCATACTAACTTATGTCTGTGTTCCGCGCATGTGTTGGTTGGGATATGGGTTCTGGCGGCTGCACAATGCAGTGCAGTCGGAGGTTTCAGGTGTTGAGATGTTAAGAATTGAGAGTAAGGGGCGGTCAACATGGGCGCGGGGGCATGCAGCACATGCCGTTCCAAGTCGCAGGGTGCCTCGCCATTGGGATGCTGGTATGGTATTCCGCAGCTCTGTTTTATTGGAAGGGGTCGCTGCGTGCCTTTTTGCGGTCTTTCCTCAGCTTGAGTGGTTAAGTGGGTAGGCGTGGCCCGAGCCTCGTTCCACGTTATCAGGCGGAGTACTTGGATGCACAGCAGTGGTGAGTGCAACGGCTGTGGAGGATGCGTGTACGGATGTTATTGGCTAGAAAGACATCTAGTGCTTCAGTAGTAGTCGTACCGGGAGCCGGCAGCGTGCCCACCTGGCACGGCGTGGCTTCTGACTACACAGACTGAGCCGCGAGTTGGTTCAGAAGTGCCCGAAGGTGCGCTGCTTGGCACGTGCCGCGCCGCTGTCGGTGGTCTGGTGGTGTTGCCCTCTTCTTGCTTGCGAGCATCCGGGGTGCCGGCATGGATGCGGGGCATGCGAGGAGTCGAGAGTGCACGGTATGGTGGGTGTGGGAAGGCACATGCGTGTGGTTCGAGGCAGGGGGGGATGTAAGGGGCTGTGAGAGGCCTGCTGGAAATACCGGTAGCTTAGCTGCGCTCGGATAGTAAGGCAGTAGTTGAGGGAGGTCTGCTTTCTCTACACATTTCTTAAGTGGTTGGGCTTCCCCGAGAAATTGCGAGAGGGGTATGGTCCTGTCCACCAGCCTCTCCTGTTGCATGCATGTTTGCCCACATGGATGGTTTTGTGGCGTTCTGTTACGGTGATATCATGGCAGGCATGTTAACCGCAGCTGTGATGGATGCTTCAAAGATGTGACTGGCGTTGCATTGCCTGTGTTTGAAGTGGCAGGAGAGCAGTATTTAAGTCACCGTATGCACTTGATTGGTTGATTTCAACCGTATTGTTAGGCCGCATGGTTTGCGGTCCAATCAGGGCACCACAGCTGCCATTGCCGTACGCTTCGTATAACTCGTATAACATGTTGAGGATGCAATTCACATTCGAATGACGCAAATGCCAAGTATGACTTATGAGCGCAGCTCGTTTCCTAGCACTGATGCCATTGCTTATTACATCCCTGCTGTTTCTAGGTATGTTGGATTAAGATGGCCATGGATCTAGGCATTCTAGGGGAGAATTATCCTCCCGCTTTGCGTGGTGTTTCGGCTATTAGCTGTATGACATGCAGCCGAGAGCCTGTCCTTACCCCAGGGCAGCTATGCTTTCTGTCCGGAGTTCGGTCGGATGATGGAAATTAGTTGGTTAGTTTTGGCATATGGCAGCCTAGGTGATGTCTTGATGCTATAATGCACGTTAGCTTTAGGTTGGTGCTTAGGTTGTATCGTGGTTGCTTGGGCGTTCGGCAGTTGCTGCGCTTATTAGCAGTGCGTTCAGCAGAGCATGTCGCTTACCTGCACCCGCCAAGGGGAGGTGCCCTTGGTTATCAAGTTTGGGAGGGTTGTACTCAGGCAGTTCAGTAATTTAGTTTCATATAATAGTAATACGGTTTAGTGTTACGGTTTCATATAGTGTACGGCTGCAAGGTTGTACGGTACGGTAGGTTTGCATCGTGTAGTGCTTTGTAGTTGCTGGATGGGTGCTTATTAGCTACAGCCTATAGGGCGTTGGCCGTGGGTTTCGCAGTAGATTCTAAGCATAAGTAGGATAAGCTCTTGCGCATAAAATAAGAACTACCTATGTACTTCTTTGTTAGGTAACTTGCAGGCGCACGCAAGCGTGCCTGTCGTACTGGTTTGTTGGTAGGTACCCTGCATAATCGCATGGCTAGCATGGAGGCTTTTCTCTTGTAACAATAACATATCAGCAGCTGCGACATTTGCAAGTGTTCCATGCACGCCGACAGCTGCAAGGCATGCCCGCGTTGCAGGGCGCATGTGGTGCCAGCAGCCCAGTACTTCACACGCGTACAAGCCGTTTAGTACATGTGCAAGCACGCAAAGCCAACCCCATTCACAATCCGGCACCCCTACGGTGCAAGTGTAATAGAGAGCACCTCGACACAATAGCTTTGTTACCACAGCCTGTGTTCTTCTCAGGCGGTAAGTCTTGCAACGGACCCGTTGCGCGCATGGTGACAGGCGGGCTACGCAACATTGTATGCCCGCTAATATCTGCATGCAGTAGATGCAGAAGGCAGGTGACTGCAAATCTATCAGTGTGACTCATTCGGCAGCAGTAGCTACGAGCTGCTACGAGGCTCCAGAATTTGGTAGCATCAGCATGTGCAGCTAGGCGGGCAAAGACGCCTATCGGGGTTTGTACAACGCGCACTACGCCAGGTTGAATGCGGGTGCGTAGTGTCATGTGGTTGCGATGGCTTACGCAAGGGTGTCTGGCCCGAGCACGTAACTCATCCCTTAGAATCCGTCTATCTTGGATAGGCCGTTGCACTCCTGATGTCTGACGTAGCTTCGGAAGGAATGTTCGACTTTAGTGATTGTAGCGAAATTCGTGTGCCTTCTCATGACTCTTCCTGACGACGAATGACGCGCTTTGACGCACTAGAGTGACGACCGATTGGCTGTCGGAAGAGTGCTTCGTAGGGTTCTACTATAGTTTGCTTTTGCAGTTTAAGGTTTGCTCAGGATACTGCCTTCAACTTTGACTAGGTAATGGCGAGGGCGGTTGGGGTCGGTTGGGGTAGCGTCAATGGTTTCGGGGGCGCACCTAACAACGAGTCATTAGGCAGCGGGTTCTCCATTTCAGGCCAAGTTGACTTGGCACCTGTACTTGTCGCGACCCCAGTACGTGCGCCTCATTAAAAGCGTAACGCAGTTGCAATTCTTCGATTGCCCTTACTACTTTGTGTTGCATAGCGACCTTCCGACTGCGCATCACTTCATCAGCAAGTTGCATTCATTCAAATCAGGACTTCAAGCTTGACCGTCCCCGTCACCGACTTGCCCCAATCAAGACCGGTCTCGTGGCTTCGCGCAAGGCCACGCCGCACGTCTTAACGCCTACTAGCCTTTCAGTTCAACTTCAACTCGACTTTCCTACCGCTTACCCAAATGGTGTTCGGTTGGGGTCGGAGCGCCGGTCCTCAGGAACGTGCTGTCATTGCGGATGCGACCGCAACAGAGCCCAGCTTTGGCGGTATTGCTACGCTAGCCGGCTCCGCCGGCGCTGATGACGTCAACTGGGCACCGCTACCGGCCGAAGCCCCTGCTGACCGCCGGCGTAAGGAACCGCTTCCGTACGAGCTCAAGTCCCACAATGTGAAGGCCCACCTGCAGGTACGTGTACAAAGTCCAGGGGACTGCAGGAGTAAACGTGAGCATTATTATTTTAGCGTGTTGTCCATATCCTTGCGTAACCGTGGCCTTGCTACCTCTTGCAACCCCTGGCCATCCATCCAGTCATCTATCCATCTGAACCTTGACTCAACCGTGTCAGCCGCACCTTTGCTCCACCACCGCCTCCTTCGCCTTTTCCTCGCCTATGACTTGCCAACCCGTGTCGGGTTGGCCCTCACTCGCCTCTTCCTGTCGGTCTTCTTCCCGCCCCTCTACTTTCCACCTCCCCGCGTCCTCATCCCTCTCACAGCATCCACTGTTAACTGCAACCCACACCACCCGCATGGTCTCCACCCACCCAATGCATCCCTCCCAACCTCCCCTCCCCGTCACACAGGATCGCAGTACGGCGGTTGTTGATGTACGAACGGTGGTTGACGCGCCGCATGACGTCATCTTCGACCTGCTGGCGGACCCGCACCAACATGAACGCATCTTCGACGCCATTGAGGTGAGTGAGGGGTTCGCGGGGTGGGGTGGTTGGTTACCAGCAGCAAGGGAAGAGACGGTTGAGGAAGCGGACTTCCGATCGTGACGCGATAGTCGGCGAAACCACAGCACCCGACACGGCGTGTGTTGCTGCAGCGTTCGCTCCCCCAAGCACACATGCATGCAAGGGCTTCCGAGCAGATACCGGTACTCAACGTGGACGGTACTGGTCACGTCTTCTTGCGCTTTTCCCTCCCTTTCCAGCTCACCTTCCCTTCCTTCCTAACCCCGCTCCCTCCTACCGCCCGCCCGCCCCACCTCCCTCTTCCCCTCGCCAGTCCGCCAGTGCCGTGCTGGTGTCGGAGGAGGGCGCCGTACGGCGGTGGCGGCTGGACTACCGAGCCAAGTGGCGCTTCTGGAAGGTGGGCGGCGTGTGCGACAACCGGCTATGGATGACGACCGACCGGGAGCGAGGAACGGTGAGGAGGAATGGGGAAAGGGAGGGAAGGGGAAAGGAGGAGGGAGGGTTGGTGGTGCTAGATGAGGGGCGGGTGGGACGCGGGAAAACGTGCAGGAGCTTTCACTTTAAACAATTTGGTTACATGGTCTGTGTGTGTGCGCTTTTCGAGGGTAGCTGGGTGTGGTCTGGTGACCGACTGTACCTTCACGCTAGGGCCTCTGGACGGCCGGCGATCCGTAACCCACGCATGCGTTTGCTCGCACGCTTATCCCTATGTAAACTACTCGCACCTCTTTCCTCCCTTCAATATTCCTCCCTTCGATATTCCTCCCTTCTCCCCTCCTGCCCTCCTGCTGCCAAAGGTTTCCTTCGTGCTCCGCGAACCCGGCTTCCTGCGCAAGTACGAGGGCACCTGGACCATCACCGGGCCCCACGGCAGCGGACCAGGGGTGGGAACAGGAGGAGCGGCATCAGGGGGACGAGCAGGAGGAGCCGGCAATGGCGGCAGTCATCAACGCCAGGCGCTGCTGCACGATTCGCCGCCGGCGTCGCCGACAGCGACGGCGGCGGCGGCGCAGCCGCCGTTCTTTGCAACCCAGCTTCCGTCATCAGTAACAACCTCCTCTGCTACTGCTGCTACGGGTGTTGCTGCTAACAAGGACAAGGATAAGGACGGCGGCAGGAAGAGCGGTAGCAACAACCTGGTAGCGGACGTCGCCGACGCCGCCAGTCCTCTGTCGTACAGTATAAGTGTTTCCGAGGCCGACGACGCCGTAACGCCGCGATCCGGGTCTGCTGCATCCTCCAGGAGTAGCAGCAGCAGCGGCGGCAGCAGCAGCCTAACGCGTAGCAGCAGCGGCAGCTTTAGCAGCACTCATACCGGCGTGAGTGGTGGCGGTGGTACTGGCCTCAATCTGCCAAGCCTGGTGCGTAGCAGAAGCGGCGGTGTCGGCTGCGGCAGCAGCAGCGGCGGCGGCTTCGGCGGCAGTCTTGCGAGCCTCATTGCAGCCATCAACAACCCCTTCATGACCCCCGCACCTGCGAAACAACAGCAACAACCTCAACAACAGCACCACCACCAGCAGCCAGTCAACGGCAGCAGCAATGCCGCTTCCTCCGTCCCCCTAGCAGCCGAAACGCCTGCTCCGCTGCTGCTGCCCCGCGCTCCCACCACCATCAAAATCCGCAAGGCCATTTCGCCCAAAGTCAGCCCGCCCTTCCCCATCAACCAGGTAAGCAGCTGAAGGGCCCATGCCCGTTGCGTGTGTCATTATCGTCCTGTGTTTGGAGTGCCGCTTGTGCCGCTTGTGCGTGTGGGGAGGGTTACGGCACACGAGTATTTGCCCTCGTCGTCTCCTCCCCTCGCGAACTAGGACTAGGCTAAGCAAGGCACACTGTGCACGCGTACAAACTGTAACTGGAATTAGTTCTGTAAGCAGGGCGGGTCGACACGCACCTGCTCTGTTGGGAGCGGCAGGGAATGTATAGTTGCGGCTCCTTAGGTTGCGGTGAAGGTCTCCTTGCATTCCCTTCCCTCTTGCAAGCCCCCTCTTCCCAGCCCTGCCCTGCCCCCCCTTCCGTTGTTTCACTTATATAATGTTTTCTTCCCCAGGTCCTGAAGGGCCATGCATGCGGCCAGGTGAATGACATGTTGGAGGGATTGCTTCTGGCCACTGCTCGGAAGGTAGCGGAGGAGGGGGGGCAGGAGCAGCAGCAACAGTGAGAGGGGAGGTGGATGTAATCATAGGGATGGTGGACCTAGAGGGGTGGGTAGGAGGCATGTGGATCTGGAGGGGAGATGCAACAGTTCGTGGGTTTGGCCTGCAGTGGAGACGAGGAGAAGAGGGAGTGGAAGGGGGGCTGGTGGTGGGGTTTGTGACGTGGGAGAGAGAAGGGTGGCAGAAGAGGAAGGGAACCGTTGAACTGACCTAATGACGCTGTGCTTGGTGTTTGCACCGGCGCGTTTGTTTGTAGCCATGATCACGACGTACAGGGAAAGAAGGTAGGGATAATAGTGGCATATCCGTGGAGCGGTAGTTGGGGGTAGTTGGGGGTGTCCTTCATTTAGTAAGGAGATGATGGCGGCTCCGATGCCTTTCCTCTTCTCCCCCAGCTCCTTTCTCTTTCTTGCCATGCCTACTCTCATACCGGTTGGCATGTACGGCAGAAGGTGAGGATGAAGATGACGCTTGGTCAAGCTCCTTCCCTGCCGCACAGCACCGTACTGGCAAGGATGAGTAATGCGGGATGTAAGGAGGAGAAGAGGGGCGGAGGCATCTTGGCAATGTACGGCAATGTGGTTTGTCTGCCGTACAGCGCCGCCGAATGCTGACTTTTCAAAGAGATTAAAGACGGTGATGTTGTTGTGGCATTGGTAGCGTTGGTATGTAGGGTGGAGCTGGAACGGTGCTCCTTGCTTCCATGACTCTGCGGAGAGCGGAGAGGCGTATTGAGATTGCGGATTACAGGGGTGAAGGACGGTATGGACAAAGGAATGGAGGTTTTGGAGTTACCCCTGTCACTTGGGGTGTTCCGGTCCTCTGGGCCCCCACGGACTGTTACGTGGCGGACTACGGCTCGCAGGTGGGCACATCCTGTTGCACATTGCAGCACTTGCCTGCTCCATGCCATATGCTTAGCGGGGGTTGGCTGGGCTTGGCAGGATATGATTGTCGTGCTAGCCAGCACCCCGGATTGTATATTACGGTATTGCAACTCTTATTTTGGAAACGTTGTCGTGTTTTGGGCACCTGTCAGGACACTTTGGTTAGTTCGCTTCATACGTTCTCGTATGGGCGTAGTTGTTGTTCATATGGTTGGTTTATTCCTCGGTTGGTGGTTACTCGACATTGCTAGCACGTGTGTTGCGGGGACAGGCCTGGGGTTGCATGGGCGAGATGAGGAGGGGAATGGAGGCTGAGGGTGACAATGGAAACGCGTCTCATCAGAAACGGCACACAACCGTACATGTGGGCGCATCCAACATATCGTGCGCGACACGGCCTGCTGCCTCAGCGCGCTTCGTTCCCTCTTCGTGCCTATTCTATTGCAAGTTTTGCAACCGTCTGTTACACGTTTGGATTGTGGGGTGGTTATGGTGGAGTCATGTCGTAGGGTTTGAGAAATGTGGTATTGTGGTTTTGCCTTGTTGGTACGGGCAGGCACGGGTGAGCCGGCATGCGGATGAAGGAAGGAAGGGTGGTGGGTTGTTGTTGCTGAAGATGTGCCGCATTGTACAACGAATGGGGATTATGGTAGGGGTGTTGCGCGTTATGAAAGCCGTTGCGTTAGTTTTTTGGACCAAGTAAGTAAGGAAGAAAGTATACTATTTGTTTGTTTCGCACGTTTTCCATTTACTGTTATTACTTCATGCATATTGGGTATTGTGCGGTAGGTGTAACGGACGGAGGGGGACAGCACACATAGAATGGTGGCGGTTTACGGGTTATATAGGGAGGTTACACGGCGATTGGCAGGTGGAAGCGTGTGGTTGTTGTGCGTGCTGCGGTTAACGAGCTGGTAACTGAACTTATGATGGGAGGCTTGCGGTACGGTATTCTGGCGGGTATACCGTTACCCACAGCCAACTGCTGCTCATACATTGCACATGTAAGCGGTTTGCTTGAAATGGTTCACTTTGCGACACAAATGCCGTACCACCTTACTCTCCATCATGAGTACGTTTGCTCTTTCAGCACAACACATTCTCCTTTCGTAAAAGCAAGAACCAAGTGAAGGCTTGTCCAATCACGTGTGCCAACCCGTATACCGTACGTATATACATGCACGTTCGCCACCGCATCACCACGTGCCATGCAGTCCTCACTAGCACGCAGCCCATCCTGCTTTCTTCATGCCGCATTCTTCCAACGTATGTACATACACGTATAGACTTATGTACGCATGCATTAGCCTTGCACTAGCCTTGAGCCTTTAGCAAAAACACTTACACCACGCACGCATGCGAGTTCACTTGACGTATACCGTTTTTCGCACGGAATATCGGTAGCTTGAGCGTCGCAAAGTTCAATGACCTCCCAGCTCGCTTCTCCAAGCATGCTGCTACAAAGAAGGGGCAAAGCCCTCATGCTATGCTGCCAAGTTAAGGCCTCACTCTCCGTCAAGAGTCATCAACCCATCATCCCAACATCTCCTCCTTCCCTTACCACCACCCTCTCCCTCAGCCTGTCCACTGTCTCCCCCTCTTCCCCTCAGCTCGTCTGCTGGATCCGACAGGTCAGCAGCGCCGTCTGCAGCTGCCCCAGCACCGGCAGCATGCCGGGAACCCTGCAGCAGTCCCGCCCATACACCGACCCAAGGGTCAGTGCCGTCAGTCCCGCTAGCCCCCGCAGCTCCGAAGCCACTAACCCCACCTCCCGCGGCGGCGGCGCGTCCAGCAGCAGCGAGCGGAGGCAGGTGAGGCGACCCAAGGCGCGGAGGTTGGAGAGGGAGAGGGGCGAGGCGGGTAGCCGCAGGGAGAGGCAGGTGAGGGTGGGGGTGGAGGAGGCGGGGTAGGAGGAGGAGGAGGAGGAGGGTAGGGGTGTGGAGGGGGAGAGCATGCGAGTGAGGGTGTAGTCCGCCAGTGTGCCGTGCTGGCAGGAGACCTGGGCGCGGAGGAGGAAGGGAGGAGGCGAGGGAAGGGGAGGCAAGGTCGTAAGAGGGAGGGAGGAGGGAAGGTGAGGGAGGAAGGCAAGCCTCTGTCCTTCCTCTGTAACAGTCCACATCGGGAAAAAAAAGCGGCAGCAGATCCGTTCGCCCCTAATAACGCCCGCAAACACACGAGGCTGCATAAACCGAGGCAATCTTCTCCCTCCTCGTTCCTCCTGCCCCTCCCTCCCGCCCCTCTCCCACCTGCAGCTTCCTGAGCCCGGGCAGCGCCGCCACCGCCGCCGCATCCGCCAGCATCAGCGACCCACCACCTCCCACTTGCAGCCTCAACTCCTCCAACACCCCACTGCTGCTGTTAACGGTGCTGCTACTGCTACTGCTGATACTGGTATTGCTGCTGCCACCTGCCCTGAAACCGCCTCCGTTGCCAATGCTACCGACACCACCGGTGCCGCTGCCGCTCCTGCCGCTGTTGGCGCCGTCAGCTGGCGAGGCAGCCGCCCCCAGCATGCACGTCAGCACCCTCCCCACCGCAGCCCCGCGGCAGTAGTCCAAATGGAGCACCCGACATGCCGGCAACAACACCGCCGGCGCTGCCACTCCGCCGCCTCCACCACCTCCTCCAACAACCACACCCGCACCTCCAAACACCACAGCAGCAGCCGTTCCTGCAGCTGCTGTTTCTCCTGGCGCCGACGACGCCTGCTGCTGCTGCTGTTGCGGCAGCGCCAGTGTGATGCCGTACAAGCTGAGTTGTGTGATGCCGGGTGGCAGGGAGTGCAGGGCCAGGGTGGCTGCTGCTGCGTCGCTGTCGTTGTGGAGGTGCAGGCGGGTAAGGCGGGGCAGCAGGGAGGAGAGGGCGGCGCAGGAGGAGGAGGAGGAGGAGGAGGAGAGCTGGAGGGTACCGCGGAAAGAGAAGGAGACGAGACGCCGGCAGCCACGGGCTAGGGCCTGCATAGGGTGGGGGATGCGAGGGCCGTGTGGGGAGGGTGATGCGAAGCTGGGTAAGGAAGGCCGCAAGCAGCCCCCACGCAGCCCCCAATGCGCCCCCCTCTTACCTGCAGCCGTGCGTCATTCAGGAACAGCTGCTCCGCTGCTGCTCCTCCTCCTCCTGCAGCCCCTCCTGCCGCTCCTCCTCCTCCTGCCCCGCTGCTCAGCTCCAGGCTGCTGAGGGCGCACAGCGGCGCCAACTGCGTCACGTTGTGGCGGCGAGCGGCGTCGCATCCCTCGGGCGGCAGGTGAAGCGAGAGGTCGGTCAGGCCGCGAAGACGGGAGAGGAGGCCCAGGGAATCCTGGATGGGGAAGTTGGGAGGAGAGGGGAACAAGGGATGGTGTGGTGAGGGGGTGGGTGAGGAGGGTTGGATGAGCTGTGGGGTGGGTATAACGCATGCGGGCCATGCACATGCCTGGGTAAGCCACTCACTCGCCCCACCCCCACCTCTGCACCACTTCCCCAACCACCCAGCGCCCCAGCACCCACCAGCTGCACTCCAGACAGGTGCAGCCTCGTAAGGCCCACAAAGGCCGCCGGAAGCTCGTCCAAGATCCCGCTGTAACCCGTCGTCAACGAAAACGACCGCAAACCGCCACACTCGCCGCCGCTGCCACCATTGCTGCCGCCGCAACTGCCGGCCCGTAGTGCCGCCAGATCCGACCAGAATCCGTCGTACAGTCGACGCGGCTCCGTCAATGTAAGCTCTGTAAGGCCCGCAAAGCCCGCCAGCGGCAGCGATTGCAAGCTGCATGCGACGTGCCGCCGCTGAGGAGTGTCGTACAAAGCTCCCTCGCCGCCGCCGCCACCCTCTCCGTCGTCCTGTCCTGGGTCGCTGTCGTCGTCGCTACCGCCGGCGGCGGCGGCGGCGGCGACCGGTGTCGCGGCGGGTGCGGCGCTCGCGACGATCAGGGTCTTCAGCGACGTCAGGCGAGTGAGGGCGCCAATGGCGGCGGCGCCGTCGAGGCGAAGGTCAGTGGCGGCGACGGCGGCGCCGCCGCCCCCATATCCGAGCCCATGCAGCCACCCGCCGCCCCCGCCGCCAGCTCCGAAACCGGCACCGGCGGCGGCGCTGGCGCATGCAAAGATGGGTCCGTCGATGGCCAGATGCTCTAAGCGTGTTAACGCTGTTAGCCTGCGGGTTGTGCAGGGGTAATGTCCAGGAGGAATAAGGAAAGGGGGCGCGTACAGGGGTTTGGAGATCGTAGCGAACTGTAGCCAGTGGTAGAGCGGTACAAGTGATCAAATACCGACTGACCCAAATCGACCCAGATCAGGTAAAGCCCCAACCCAGATCAGCAAGTCTAACCTGTACGACCCACGACCGACCCGGATCAGGTTGCACCAGGCCCAACCCAGATCGGATCTTGTCAGGCCCACCTGCGCAGTGCGGCAATGTAACTAAACTCGGATCGCTCCACGTGCGCTCGGCCCTCCAGCGACAACCGCCGCAGGCTCGTCACCTGCAGCATGGGGGGTACGAATGGGGAGGTGGGGGTGGGAAGGGAGGCGAGGAGGGGCCCTGGAGGGGCGCAGCCTGATGATGCCGCCGGCAAATGCTGCGCTAACAAGGCGGAGAACGGAGAAGGCGAGGCCGACAGGCAGATACCGGTAGCCCACATGGACAGATACCGGTATGGGGTCGCGAGCCACAGCACCGCGTACCCGCCAAACCCGCTGCATGCCGCTGTCCGGCCGCGGCACTGGGGCCGTGGAGCACCAACAACAACCCCGCAGCGAGCCGGAACCCCTTATCCTTCTCCCTTCCTTCCTCCGACTCTCAGTCATTAATCCCATGTCACCACAACCGTTGCTACCCCACCACGCTCCAACCCCAGCTCCCCCACCCCCACCTGCGCCGCCTCCAGCACCATCCGGTACGACAACAGCCCAGCCAATGTCAACTCCTCCAGCTGCGGAAAACCCAACAAACCCAACCTCCCTCCTCCTCCTCCTCCCCCTTCACCGCCTCCTCCTCCCCCGCCCTCCTCCTCTAGGGCTGCTGGCACCAGGCCCCGCAGCACCAGGCTCTTCAACCCGGGCAGCCGGTAGAGCGACTCCAGGGGCAGCGCTCGCAGCCCCGCTAGTCCCAACACCAGCGTCAACTGGGTCACGCAGCTGAACAGACCGCTACTGGCACTGCTACCGCTGCTGCTGTTGCTAGAGATGAAGGTGCTGCTGCTGCTGCTGCCGACGCTAGCAGCAAGGCTACTGCCGGCGGCAGCCGCGGCGAGGCTCCTGCTGGCGCTGTTGTTAGTATTTAGGCTGCGAGGTACGACTCCAACGCCAAGTAGCGGTGCGACGTAGCGCCGAAAGGAAGTGGGTGCGTGTGCGGGTGATGGCTGCTGCCCGGCTGCATGAGCAGCGTTGGGGGCGGCAGCGGGTTTGGCTGTGGACGGAGCAGGCAGCAGGAAGTTTGGGAAGCGCAGGGTGAGGTGGGAGGTGGAGGGAAAGCGGCGGTACGCGGCTGCAAGTTGTCTGCTGGCCTCGCGAGGTAACGGAGAGAGGCTCAGGTCGGCGCGTTGGATTGCGGCGCCTGCTGCTGCGGCCCAGCCTTTGCATACCAAGCGACAGCGCGGTCGGTCGGCGTGAGGAAGCTCTTGGATGAGCTGCAGGAGCACGCCATCGGGAAGTGTGGCCCAGTCCGCGAAAACGCGCGAAGAAGAGGGGCCTGCTGGAGCCTGGGAGAGAAGAGCGAGGAAGGAGGGATTTACTAAGATGTTGGAACGTGATAGTAGGGTATAAAAAAGAAACAGGAAAAGGAGAGGTGCAGCGACAAAAGGCCCTTTTCAGCGCGAGTCAAGCAGAAAAGCTTGCTTTGGGCACATGAGAGAGCAGTTGTCGACAGCAGCTATAGTAAGCAGACATGGTTCGTACTAAACAGGGAAAGTCTAGTGCGTGTCAAAGGCTGGAGGAAGCTTACCTGTGGGCTAAGGCTCTTGCGCGGGGCTTTGCCACCAGCTGCTGGGTCACCGATAGAGCTGCTCCTTCTGCGTGTGAACGTCTTCATGTTCAAGAAGGGCAGCAGCTAAAAGCCTAATCGGTGAGCTTGCGAAACGCGCAGGCACTGAACGCAGCTTTTTTGTCCATGTGCGATATCCAGGTGGGCAGTACAGCACGATTTGCATGGATGGATCAAGCAACTGCCAACTTATAGTCGTTTTCGCTGCTTTCTATCAAAAGCCGTTCCCCGAAAGCAAAACGCTTTGCAAGTTTACCGCTTCATACCATACAAAACATGCGTATTACAATTGCACCGAGCACGGAGCGAAAGTCGTGGATAAAGCGTGCAAGCTTCCACTCGGGCGACTTGTCGTTTAACCCCTTTTATGCGTGTGGGCTCTCCCTCGCTGCTTTACCTCCGACCCAGATGGCGGATGGTCCTCCGTGAGTTTCAGACCTCACCACACGGACACTAGGCATCTGCCGAGCCAGGAGGTGGAGGAGTGGAGGCATGTGGTGGCATGGCGGGATGGTGTGACCCGTGGGTCGGCAATCGACAAGTTAAAAGCCGACAAGCAACGCTGTACACGGGTATATCTGCTCCTTTGAGCTGATTCCATGACGCCTTCCCGTGCCCATCCTTTGCACCACCACCCTCAGCTCTAGTCCATCAGATGTGCCTTTTGCCACGGGGCGTCATGGAAGGGGCAGCAGTTGTGTTCCCTAAACAGGCTACCAGGGGATGACAGCTGCGGTTTTGCAAGTATATGGGGAATCGGGATGTCCCCGGGAGCATAACGGGAGAGAGGAAAGGACCCAGCATGGCGAAGACATGTGGAGACAGCGAACTCCGAACGCAATAGCAGCGACGACGCCCGTGGCGGCGGCTGCAACCGCTGGAGCGACAAGAGGTGGTACATAAAGTTTCATACGGCAGGAGTGGGTTGGAGCTTGCGTAACCGGAATTAGTACCTCGGCGGTTGCGTTTGACGGCCTGGCGTTTACGTGTCTGGGCAGCTATAAGATGGCCTGGCGTTGCCATATCCGGACAGCCGTGATAGCTGGTATCGCAGGGTACATCAAACATGGCGCAGCATATGCAAGCCAAGTTTCCCAGATGCAGGTGCTTGCCTCCTTCCCTGCTAGACCTCACAACGTCAAGACGTGAAGTGGTTGCGAGGGCGGATCTGAAGGGCTTGTATTTTTTCCCGGGGCGCTTCTCAGGGCGAACCCTGGAAGTTGCCACCTTGTTGTCTACGCCAATTCCGGTTGCATGTTGGGATATGGAGTTTCAGCTTGCTACTAGAGCACGCGTTTGCTGTTGTTTCGCGCGGTTGGTTGAGCGACGGAGAAGGAGAAGTCCATCAGTCGAAAATTGGGTCAATATGCCCATCTATGTTGCTGTCGGTAGCAACATGTCCAGACACTGTATCTGAGCCTTGTCATGAATTGGTGCAAGGCAGCGGCGAGCTGGCGAGTGGAAGGGTTCAAGCTCAGCAAAAAAGGTTGCAAAAGGCGTTTCAACTGTAGGACGTGACGCAGCATGTAACGTACTAGACTCCAACCACCAACGGATTGCACCAAGAAAGAGCCATCGAGCGGCTCGCGACGCGCTCTAATTCGTCGTACAATACGGCCCGTTGTCGCCGTTGACACTTACGCACTTCACGTCCTTCTCAGACTAGGATTTACATACTTGTGGTTGTGAGTTTACGTGGCCGTTATGCAATATATTCCCAGTAATAAGTATACAACAATTACAGTTACTTAGTTTTCGTTCCAGGCAACGTAAACGCTTTGTGCTATTACTCCAGCCTTCTGTATTCAGCTTCACATGCACTATTGTTAAAGCACAATGTTTGCGTGCTTCAGTGGTGCCCCTCAGGGTGCTGCCCCTGTTAGGCGAAGCCTTACCGCGCCGGAAGGGTCTAGGGCTAATGGCGATTTGGCTGGCATGTTGTCGTCAACTTCAGTCCGCGCCGGACTTCAGCATCCCGCGGCGGTGGCGTTTCGGTCGGGGAAGTGAGTCAGAGGCCTGCCTCATCGTTCGTCAGCTTGACAGCTGCTTCCTAGCGGCTCCAGCTGAGGGAAATGCACCCTTAGTTTTTCATTTCGATTGCGTTCATACTGTTATGGCTCGGTTTAGCAAGCCGCTGGCCTCCACGGTGGCAACTGCATCTGCTGGCCGATGAAGGCATCACCACCACATCCTAGCCCTCAACCTTACAAGCAATTGAAACTCTGTACTGCACCTCAGCTCACAGTTACTGTTCCCTATTACCGTTCCATCCCAACAGGCTTGGCATTACCTTCAGCGGGGGCGGCTTCCTGCTCCCTTACTTCATCGGTGTCACGGAAATCCTGCAACAACTCCGGATCCTCCGCCCTGGCTGCGCCACCCCCGTCGCCGGCTCCTCCGCCGGCAGCCTCATCGCAGTCAGCATCGCCTGCGGCCTCTCCGCGAAAGACATGTACGATAGCCTCCTACGTTCTGTACAAGACTGCCGTACAAACGGCTCTTACCGCCGCTTGGATGCCGTACTCACACGCCAGCTGGATTCCACCTTGCCGCCCGACGCCGCGGAGCGTTGCAGCGGCGTTGCTACAGTAGCCATCACGCGCATGTTCCCGCGACCACGTACCAAGAAGATTAGCACCTTCACTTCACGAGACGACCTCATAGCTGCGTTGATGACTTCTTGTCACATTCCGGCTTACTTTAACGGCGAGCTAACAGCCAACTTCCGCGGCAAGACGGCGATCGATGGCGGCGTGACGTCTCTGATGCCGCGACCCACCGCGCCACATGACTTCCTGCTCAAGGTAGGTGGCGGTGGTAGTGATCGAACGTTTGAAGGAGGGTTAGGACTTAGGAGGTGCGCGGGGAGCTTGTGCGTAGGGTGTTACATGCTGCAACAACAACAACGTGGCATGGCTGAACTATGGTAAATGTTCTGTGCCCTGTCTTGCCCACCTCTTGCCGCATGCCTCAGGTGTGCTGCTTCCCTCGCGCCCAAGTGGCCCGCCTGCCCATCTTCAACCGGCGGCGGGTGCTGGAGGACCTGCACCTGGGTATCACACCGGACGCGTTCGGAGCCTGGCCCTACGGGTGGGTTTGAGGAAGGGAGGGGGGGAAGACAGGAGAGTATCCCCGGAAGAAGAAAAGGGAGAGGGCAACCACATGCACTAGGGCTAGGGTTTCAGTTGGCAGCACCCGCCTCATCATCGCTTGCCCTCCTCATCACGCTCCTCCCTCTTACTTACCCCTCCACCCTCCACCCCTCCTCTCCACCCGCAGCCTGAAGGACATGTTGGCTGCAGCCCTGCACCCCCACTCCGACGACTTCATCCAAACCCTGCTGGAGGCCGGCCGCCACGACGCAACCCACTGGGCCCACGCAACCGGACTCGCACCCCCCGGCCTGCCGCTGCCACCCCGACCGCCCATGCCGCCGCTCGTGCTGGGAGCACGAGCAGGCCCCGCGACGGCGAAGCCGTCGCCGACGGCTGCGGCGCCTGGAGGCGGCGTCGCCGCGGTTTCGGACGCGGAGGCGACGTCGGAGATTGCGGCGGAGGCCGCCGCGGCGGCGTCACTGGCGGCGCCATTGGGTCACGCCGCCGCCGCCGCCTCCGGCGGCGGCGGCATTGGCGACGTCGGCGGTTCTGATCTGAGTGCGGTGTTGGCGACGGCTCTCTCGCGCAGGCCCTCGACTGCTGCGGAGGCTGAGGCGGCGGCGGCGGTGGCGGCTGGCACGGAGGCGGCTCAGGAGCTGCTGCTGCAGCTGCAGGCGCACCCGCAGCCGGAGCCGCGGGAGGAGCCTGTGACACCGCAGTTGCGTGACCAACACCAGCAGCAGCCGCACGGACCCCACATGAATGGTGATTCAGCGAATGGTGATTCAGCCGATGAGAGCTACCTCCAGCTGCACCCCCGCCATGACCCGCACCAGCGGGAGCAGGAGCTGCTACGGCAGATGTATTTGCAGCCGCGCACCTCACAGGAGTCCGTGTCGTCCTCCTTGTCCTCGTCTTCGTTAGCAGCAACAGCAGGCGGAGGAGGAGGTGGTGGTATAGGTGGAGGAGGAGAAGGGTCGCCGCTGGGGATCCAGAAGGTCGGGGAGAAGGAGAAGGGATGGAAGGAGGGTGCGGGAGAGGGCGGCGGCGAGGCGTCACCGGTATCGCTAGCGGGGCACTGTCCGCAGCAGCAGGGGCGTGGTGAGGTGGCTGGGAGGCAGCTAGGAGGGGGGGCAGAAAAGGCCAAACAAGGAGGGGAGGCAGAAGGCCCGATGGTGGTGCCTCGCCGCAACACAGGTGGGTGGTGATGATGAGGTGGGGATCGAGGGAGGTATAAGGGGGAGGACTGTGGCGTCTTTTCTGCATCTGCATCTGGTGATGAGAATTGTTGAGGAGCGTTGGGGGGTAGGAAACGGGGTTGCTGGCTGGCTGGTTGGCTGAGGAGGTAGCGGGGGCACAAGTTGCATGCAGAGGGATGCGTGGCTGGCTGGGTAGTGTGCAGAGCTGCTGGGCTTCACGTGCTGTGTCGTGATGGAAGGCGTTGTTGTCGTGCGAGTGGAGTTCTGCTGCGTTCTCCTGGGTGCACTTGGCACTGCTAGCAAGCAGGGGTTGTACGACTGTGGCTGCTGTTGCTGCTGGGTTCTGCTGCTGCTATGTACATTACCTAACTGGACAGCAACAAAAGGGCGGTTAAAAAGTAGTATAATGAAGGGCGGGCACAACAATTGGCTGCTGTGGGGACGGACAGGAAGGGACGGAAGGGTTGGGTATGACGGCTAGGGGCAGGACAAAAGAGTTTAGGTAGCGTAGAATGTGGGGTGGCCGTCCGCGGTTTTGCTGCTGAGACCTAGGCAGCTGTGGGTTAAGGAGACTGGCTGTGGGTGCTTGTACACTTACTATTCGACACATTGCTACAGCGGGCACTCCTGTCTTTAGGTGTTCGGTTCCTTCTTATGACATGTTGATAGACGCCTTTGAATTCTCCCTTCATTCTTTGTTTGTACACTTCTTGCTTTACAGCGCACATGACACGGGTTTTACAGAGCTTGTATTGCGCAGGTGGTTTTGCGTTGCTTGTGTGCTTGAACGGAACGGAACCGGGACGTACTTATTCATGACAGAGGCTGGCAAACCAACGCTTTGGGGTATGTCGGAATGCTGCTTTGGGTTGTGCTGCAGAGGGATAGGCTTCCTGCGCTTCCCACATTGTACGGTACCGGTAGCATGGGGAGTTGCAACCATGAACGAATCTATTTTGGGTGGCGTATGCCTGTAGATTGAGACTCTTCGTTTGGCGCATTCCGCATTTGCAGCCGTACTCCTTGAGACCATTTGAACGGGCCCAAATGTAACGGCAGAAGCGTCTAATGAGGTGTGCCCTTTTCAGTCCCGTAGTCAGCTACGTGAAAGAACTTGCTTGGGTGACCTTGGGTCAACGCCTTAGCTTACTAGCTAGAAGCATCGATTCCTACAGCCATCAAACACGTCCGAAGGCGGATTGAGTACCAGCGTATATATATTGCTTCCGGGCTCGGCCATTCCTAAACCGCTGCTGACTCGCAAACGGGGACTTTCAGTCCAGCCACAGTAGGGCCTGACAGCTGACACCTCAGCAGAGCCGTACATCAGCACGGAAGAATACAGCATCCTGCCACCCCACGCTCTCCGCCCGAGAGATGAGCACCTGCCTTCATGCACGCGGATGTTACCTAAGCACAACCTACACGTTTAAGGTACATTCCTGATGCTGTGGTGTGCCGTACCGAGCACCATAGTGCCATAACCGGCAGTACGCACCCAGCACAGCAGCAGCTAGTCACTGCATTACACATACACACGCGGCCGGTTATCTTAACACACGTACCTGCAATCTGCTACGCCTCTCCTGCTGCCCTACGTTTGCTGCGTACGCTTCAGGTTTTGTCGCACGCATGCGTTCTTGCCTGGACCACCGTTCGCCCGTTCACAAATTCGCTCACGCACACTCCTACCTAGCATGACGCCTCTCTTCCTGCCCTCCCACTCGCCTCACTTCCTGCCCTCCCACTCATCCTTGAACTGCTGCAGGTATTGCTCCATGAAGACATGCCGCTGCTCCGCGATCTGAGCGCCCGCAGCCGTCTTCATTAGGCCCTGTTGCATGAAGCGTGAGTGGTGGGTTACGGGCCGAGTTCGAGGAAGGGACCTGAAATGCCTCAACTAGCATTTAACCTGCATCACTTTCGCGCTCACCTTTAGCTTCAGCAGCTTCTCGTAAAAGTGGTTGATGGTGGTTGACTGAGCGCCGCCGCTCATGTACTGCTCCTTGCTGAGTCCGTCACGCGGCGGTACGGCAGGGTCATACAGCACACGGTGCTTGGCGCCGCCAAAGGTGAAGCAGCGCGCGATGCCGATGGCGCCGATCGCGTCAAGCCTGCGCAGGGGGCGCGGGGAGGGGGGCATGCCCGCATGTGTCGGCGAGGGGTGCGGGATAGGGGTTGGGCGGGTTCCATGCGGGTTATGAGTGAATGCGGGTTAGGAGGTGCACCATAGTCGACACCTGCGGTTGTAGGTGCCTCTAGGGACGGCCAACCGCGTGCCAGTCTGCATGCTAGTGTGCACCTCATGCTTTGCACGGGGCATTGCGTCTTGACATACCTGTCAGCGTCCTGCACGATGGCCGCCTCCAGTGATAGCCCCGGGGCACCTCCGCCCGCACCTCCAGCTCCAAGCTCCTCCTTAAATCCAACTCGGGAGATAATGTCCAACACCCGGTCAATGGTATCCGAGTCCACGTCATGGGCAGTTAAGAAGCCCTGGAAAAAGGGGCACGAGACAAGCGGACGGCTCTGAGTTGGGTAACGGATGGTGGTTATGACCCTCTTCGTTATGTCAGCATCCTATCTTTAAGTTATGTTGGTTGTCCTGGTCGAAGGGTTTAGTGCAAAGCCGCAAAGGGCCTGCGATTACTGTACTGCCGTACACGCGAACGCACCTGCACAGCCTCTGCCGTGGCTCCATCGCTACCGCTGTACTTCCAGTCGCGAACATCGTGCAACAGCGCTGCGAGATCGACCAGCGCGGTGGCTTCGGGACTAAGGCCTTCAAGTTGGGCTAGGTTTCGGGCGTTGGCGCGAACTCGCTGGATGTGGGCATAATCATGGGACGCGTCCGAAGCTGCAAGCTCTTTACGTACGAACTCTTCGGCTGCGGCTAGCACGCTCGGGCTAACACCTGAGCTTGGCATATCCTTGTCATTAGACATCGCCTTAACTGTTTCCACGCTGTGCTAAGGGCTTAATTATGTAAACGATTTGGATGTAAGTGCGGAGTAAGGTTGTTTGCTGGATTAGCTTGGAATGGACTACAGGGCAGGTAAGCCCGCATGCACGGCATTGTTGGTTTCGGTGCAGCTTTTGCAAGGAGCCAAGGACAGCTCACAGCTGCAAGACGTGGCAACCCTTACAAACAGCTTTTGACAGTCGTTTTAATGAACGCGTCATCAGTTACCTGTATACTACGGCTGTTCAGAATGGGGCCGCAGCAAGCAGCTCAGGCGCACATTTGGTCAAAGCTACCATCGGATCTTGCGGAGCGCATTATCAACTTCCTTCCCTCTAATGAAATCGCATGCAGCATGCGTTTCGTCAACAAGGCCGCAGTCGCGCAGCTTCGCAGTCCTGCCTATGCTACCGTGCGGATGTCTGCTCCTGTGCTGACAGACGCCTTCAAGCAGCGCTGGAGCCGTCCCGGCGCCATGCGGAGCATGACACACCAGCAGCGACTTCATTTAATACGCTTAACAGCCCGCACTGGCATGGTCTCAAACCTTGAAGTGGCCATTGCGGACGCGGGATGTTTTGCAACAAACGACTTGGAAAAGGCTGCTGCTGCAGCTGGGCAGCACGAAGCGTGCAAGTGGCTGCAGCAGAAGGGCTATTCGGTCGGTCCAATGCTGGCAGCTGCAGCAGAGGCAGGACACCGCGCCTTATGCGAGTGGGGTCTGGCGAATGGCTCTGGCCTTGTGGCGGTGTGCGTGCAGCTGCGCTTGGGGGCCACCTGGACCTCTTGGACTGGCTGCTGCTGCGGCGCCCTGGAGAGATGCGCCTTCCTATCCCTGAGATGTATCTCTGTGAAGCGGCTTCAGGCCTGAACCTGGCGCACCTCAAGGACCTGGTAGAACAATGTTACGTTGATAAGTTCAGCTTGTCGAATATGGGCTTCCTTTTCGCTGCTGCCGGCGGTCGCACACCCGACTGGCAGGCCAAGGTTGAGTGGCTGCAGGGGCGGGGCTTCCCGCCGATTTCTCGCGCCTACATCTCCGCGGCTAACTGCCCTGATGCTGTCGACCGCTTAAGGTAGCTGCGGCAGCGAGACTTCCCTTTCAACGACGACATCTGGACACGCGTGCTTGGGTGTTGTGCTGAACGGGGCCACCTAGAGGCCCTGCAGTTCGTTTTTGGAACAGCACCTGCCGTGCAGCCGAGCGAGGGCTGCAGCCAACTGGCCGCTGCAGGGGGCCACCTGTCCGTCCTACAGCTGCTGCTCGCCCACGGCTGCCCGCTGGATGCTGAGACCGTGAGGGCAGCTGCTGGTTAGGGCCACCTGCATGTGGTGGTCTGGCCGGTGGAGGCGCAGGGACAGGAGGTGGATGCGGGTGTTTCCTCCGCAGCTGCTGCTTCAGGCAGCCTCCCGCTGCTGAGGTGGCTGAGGGAGCGGGGCTGCCCCTGGGACGCGGAGGCGTTCAGTGGGGCCGCTCGTGCGGGGTCCGAGGAGGTGATGGATTGGCTAGTCTCATATCGCCGTACCATCGGGTAGCCAGCAACATCAATAGTTCCGTACGGAGCTACATATCACTGCCATGTGTATATCTTCTTCCGGGGATGACTCGCTTGCGTAGAGTGGCAGAGTACCGGTATGCGCTTACAGGCAAATCTTGCGAATGACAAGTGACCCATGGGTCTTATGGGCATGTACCGTACCGGTATAAACCCCGCGCCTGCAATCAGAAGACAGCTGCATATGCCAATGCAGGCGCCAAACACACGACCCCAGGATTGAACCCGCACAACATGCCAGCTCCCATTCCTCCCGCCCCTCCTTTAGAGCCCTTAGCCCCTCTTACGCACCCAGTCCAACACCTCCTGCACCCCTGGCTTTTCGGACTCCAAAACCGCTTTGCTGCGTCCCAAACCACCGCGGCAGCCCTCTTCTGGAAACACAACCGGCGTTGGCAATCGCCATTCCAAGGTTCTGGGCAGCGCCAGTGGGCCCGTTAAGGCTGCAGCCGTTCCAAGATGTACAGCCCTTGTAACAATTGTATGTACCACAACACGTATTAACAATCAACCAACCTCTCAACGCCCTATCCCACGAAAATCAGCCATGTGGATAACTTCACAACGCCAGCAAACAAACAAACACCGCCCCCTTGCTTGTGCATCTTGCGTTTATGGTTACTAAAGGCGTGCCAATCCGGCCGTGGCTGTGAATGAACCCCAATTAACAAAATATGGTTTGCGCATTGCCAATATCCTATACATTCTTCACTTTACGTACACCCAATTCTCCTCTCTTTCCAGGGTTTGAATGTCAGTGTCGCGGCCTGTTGCCACACACGATCCTACCTGGACAAACAACACAGCCATGCAACAACATGCGCACAGCGAGTGGCAAGCCAACCGAAAATGCCAAGCAAGCGTGTAGCATTCAGAGTCCCGACGCGCAACAAAAGAAGCTGGCACAGTCCTTCAGTCCCGCTTGTACTTCCGCTTGGCATCCTCCGCCCCTCCCCCGCCCGCCCCACCTGGCCACTGCCGCTGCAGCTGAACCCTCGACCCGCGCATGCCAAGACCCCCTCCCGTCCCTCCCCCTCCACTGCCACCACTTCCTCCATTCCCACCCGCCCCGCCTGCCGCATCATCTCCCATTACCACCCCCACCATCGCCACCTTGTACGTCATGAATCCAAGAGCACCCAGAGCCAACTGCCAGGCTGCAGTTGGGTTGGTGGGCGCCACAGTGGTCAAGGGGGCAACTGTAGCGGTGGTGACGGTTGTGGCGGTTGCGCTGGTGGTTGCGGGGGAGGAGAAGAGCGAAGAGGCGTCCAGGGGCCCCACTAGGGACAGTCCGCCGGCCACACCGCCCGTAACTGCATGCGGGTGTGAGATATATCGGTACATAGCGGTAGATGTCGACATGTATGGGGTTAAGAGGGGCTCAAGGACGTTCGCGTCGGGAAAGGAGCGAGGAAGTAAAGGAAGGATTGTGAGAGGAGACAACAGCGCTGGCGTTCAAGTTGGCAGGCAAGTAGAGCGGCTGCTGCGCGGCTCCTTCCTGCCCCAAGCATTCAGCGTTCATGTACGACACCTGCTGCGTTCCCATGTACTCGAGCGCACAGTCGGTCTCGTTAACATATACACCCACACGCTACCCCCGTCTACCCCTGCCCCTGCCAACTCACCCGCCTCCTGCCTAGCCAGCATCGCCAGCCCCATTGCCGCGGACAAGCACACCAGCCCCAGCCGCAGCGGCGCAGCACCCAGCAACCGACCCGCGGCACCGCCCAGCCCGCCACTGCCGCCTGGGATGGAAGCTTCTGCTGCTTGTGCTGCTGTTGCGGATGCTGAGGGTTCAGGGTTTTGCACAGAAGCCACGACCGGGGCGACCTCCTCCTGCTGGTGCTGGTGCTGGTGCTGCTGCTCGGTTGCTGCGGACGAGCCGTGCATGGTGTTGACGCTGGGGTTAGGGGTGCTGTCGCTGTTGCTGCTGCTGCTAGGGGTGCTGCTGTCATGAGGTGCGGCTGCAGCACCGTGTTGGGGTGGTGGTTGCAACTGTTGCTGTTGTTGTGCTGTCGAGGCTGAGGCCGAGGCTGAGGCAGCCTCCATCACGTGGTCCACACCCCGCATCAGCAGCCACTGGTACACCAGGCCTGCGGGGGCGAGGAAAGGAGGAGGAGGAGAAGGAGGGCATGGGGACATGGGGCTTGTGTGTATTACACGCTTCAGGGCGGGGGACCGCCGAGCAGCAGCACCAACAGCAGCAGCACCCCCGCACACCCACCCACCTACAACCCCGCCTGCAGTGTACGGCATGGCTGCCGCCGCACCGCCCGTCAGCGCCGCCAGACACCCCCCCGTGGCCACCAGCAGCGCGGTGGCGGCGGCGAGGCGGCGCTTGAGGGCGGAGTAGTGCGCTAGACCCAGGGAGCGCAGGGCGGAGGCCTGGTCCTGGGGGGGCGGGGAGCGGGGAGGGGAGAAAAAGAAAGGGGAAGCGAGGGTGGAGGGACGGGTGTGGCGAGCGAATAGCTTAGAAACGCAGGTTGAGATTCTTGGTTACCGGTATCCGGGCTGCTACCGCACGTGAACATGGCAATGGGCGTCAATGGAGGTGCGGTTATCGTAGGGCTGCACGTGCCCAGGTCACCTCCCTCCCTCTCCCTCCCGGCCCACAGCCCTCCTGCCCCACCACCACTCCCCTCCTACCTGCGACAGCACCACCGCCGCCTCCCCCTCCCCGTACACCACCGCCCCCGCAGGCACGGGGGGCAGCAGCGCGGCGCCCTCGCCCGCCCTCGCCCCCAGCAGCCGTCGGCACACGAACCTGGTGCAGGGGGGCGGGGTGGGTGGGGTATGGGACATTGGGAGGGGAGCTGCAACCACGGGGCGAGGGTGGAGCGGAGCGGGCCGGTGCAGGGGGTTCGGAGCGGATGACGAGCAAGGCAGCGGCAGCACCGCGCTGTTGCCGCCGCATTCCTTCCATGACCCACCTATACCATGTGTAACCCCTCCCTCTTCCTCCTCTCCCTCTCCTCTTCCTCTCCCTCTCTTCTTCCTCTCACTCTCCTCTTCCTCTCCCTCTCCTCTTCCTCTCCCTCTCTTCTTCCTCTCCCTCTCCTCTTCCTCTTCCCCTCTTCCCCGCACCTGTCCATGTGCCGTGTGCGCGATGACACCACATCCGCCTCCTGCAGCCCCCAGCTGCCGCCCTCCACCCCCACCAGCAGCCCGGACAGCGGACCCAGCTCCGGGACCAACAGGCTCACCTGGGCAGGGAGGGGGGGCAGGGAGCGCATACTCATGCAGCGAGCGTAGACGGAGAAACACTACATACGGAGAGTCGGAGACCAAGCATGTGTACAGCGGTCTGCACATGCAACCTTGGGGTCAGGTGGGGAATGGTTTTGGGGATGGCCCGGCGAATGAGACCTTGGTGTTCGGACGACTCCCTGCCATCTTCCTCAAAACAGGATGTGGATGTGCTGATCTACTGACATGCCCGACACGCTGGGTGTACAGCTTGGCTTTTCAAACAGGTTGAAGAACCACAACCCACGACCCGCGACCGACCCTTGACCACCCCCCTCTCCCCAAGCAACCGGGCTGCCGCTGCTTACCTCATCCACGGAGCCCTCCTGGAAGCGCCGCTTGGGGGGCGGGGGAGGCGGAGGACGCCCCACTAGATTCCTCCTGGTACCACCTGCACCTAGGCTGCTACTGCTGCTGCTGCTGCCATTACTGCTATTACTGATGGAGCCACTGCTGGTAGCAGCTGCGCCGTTTGCGGACTGCTGCGGATGAGGCTGTGAGGAGGACGCTGTGGAGGCAGCAGCCCCGGCACCTCCCCTGGGTGCCGCTGCTGGTGCAGGGAAGGGCGCATCCGCCCCCTCCTCCACCGCTAGGCTGCAATCCGCGCCAACTTCTGGGCCGATGAGCTGTTGTCATGTCGCACATGCAACAAGACAACCCGGGGTGCAATGAAAACGAAATTAGTCGAGCCTGTCGTACCAAAGCGCCATACCAGGACATGCGCATCTAACAGAAAGGGAATCGAGGCACTGGTAAGCTGCTATGCTGCTTTAAAGGGGCAGGCAGGGCTTGCTGGATACCCACCCACCTGGCACATCTCCAATGTGTGAGCTCTCGATTCTAGTGGATCGTTCACCTGGCTGATCCGCAGCAACGCGCCCCGGCCGCTCTCGCCTATGAGGCACACGTTGACCGCGGCATAGGGGTCTGACAGCGCGGAGCCGCGGGCTGGGCTGGTGGTCAGGCGGATGGTGTAGACGGTCAATGGTTCGGATGAGGCCGCAGAGTCGGATGTCAGGTCACCGTCCTGGAATGGGATCGGAGACAGGGCAGAGAATTGGGCAAAAGGTGGGACTTTCTGCGCCATGATGAGTGCGGCGGTGCCCGTGTAGAAAATGCCGCTCATGGCATCGATGGAGCGGTTGGTCAGCTCAGGTGATGACGCTTGCATATGTTATATATGGATGAAAACCATATGCGAAGCACGTTAGCGGCAGCCGTCTTAAGGAAAGCGGTGATCTCGAAGGTGTAGTATCGACTCCGACCCCGCTATTTTGCTTTCACATTTGGCCGCTGCAAATCGTGACTGGCAAGATACCAGCGCTTATCTCGTCCAGGTTTTACCGAAGAGGCGCAAAACAAAGCTGACAAAGGGAGCGCTGCTTGAACGAGAAACACTCGGATGCTGACGAATAGCCATGTCGCGAAGGGGACTTTAATAGCACGCTGTCAGCGCCAGGACATCCTAGAAAATCAGGTAATAAAGGTGACATCGAGCAAGAAACGAGGTCTGTATCCCACCTTGGCGCGCCGTTCCGACACAAGGCTGGTCGGCAACACCCAGGATGACGACAACGACGCTCCTTGACCGGCACCCGGGCCCCGTCCATCACGCCCTTTACTACGTAGCGCTTGTGTTCGGCAACTCCTCTGCCATTGCCGCAGTGGCTGTGGCTGAAGCCGTGGAGCAACTGACAGCTTACAGGGCGATCCCAGAAGTTGTCTATCAAGCTGCATCTGAGTTTAGGAAGCGACGTGGGAGGACAGGCAAGGGTGTCGCACAGCCGTGCCAATAATGCACTGAACAAGGGTGTCTCGCCAAACTGAAATTTCAATCGATGCCAGACGGCAAACGTTGTGCGACGTCTCTTTAAAAACTACCTGTGTATGCATTTGCAGGTATCCTGGTATTTGGACGGGGCCTCGGATTTCGCTGTACAACATGTTGCCACACCCTTGAGCCAGAGTGACAGGGCACAGCAGGTGGCGCATTGCTAGACGAAACTCAAATATCACTTATGACCCTCGGCTCTATTGCCATTACCTTTAGCTAGCTAGCCAGGAAGGGCTCTCGGTTCACTGCTAGCACTGCCCGGATCACTCGTTGTATGTGTTGCTTAGTACCAGGCTGCTAACATGACATGTCGCCTTGATCACCGTATCGAGACAGACTGCACTAACTAGGGAATCGATCGCGGGCAACAGTGCATACCACCTTTGTTAGGGACTTCAGTCGGTGGCTTTGTTCTTCCGTATAGGTCTATTCTACACATTTATAGCAGCTATATAGCCATCGGCGGCGCGGGTGCGACCTCCCGCGCAACCTGCGGAGGAGCGGCAGAATCCCGGGCGCTCCTCGCCCATCTCCCTCCATGTCGCCGCTTACACTCCTTCTCACCTGCTTATTCGCCGTCAGTGGACCGCTTCTCTCACTAGGCGCCCAAAATGCAGCTCAGCAGCAGCAACAGCAACAGGGCAGCACACCTGCAGCAGCATCCTCCACCCATGACCACACCGCCACATTACCCAGCTGGTGCAGCGCGGGAACCTACTCCCGCACCAATGACCCCATGTACACCACCATGACCCGCACCTCATCCGCCTACAAACTCTACCACAACGCCTACTGGCACGCCAACAAGTGGTACGCCATCGTCCCACCGCCCGCAATGCTTCGGCCCGGCGAGGCACCCGGCATCCCCGTTTCACCCCCTTCCCCCCCTCCCCCGGCAAAACCCAAATCAAAATCACCCCCGAAACCCACCTCAAACCCAACCCACCCCTCAAACACCACTTCTTCATACCACCTGGAAGAGGGTCTCTCCACCAACACCGTTCTCATTCGGCTGCCGGTCACCGACATGCCGTCGCTCACCCGCAACCTGCGCACCGGCTTCCTGCCGGGCACCACCCTGCTGCTGGACTTCCCCTTCCCCGCATTCCCCGACAACCTGGGCCACTGGGCGGAGATCCTGTTCCCCGTGTTCAGTGTGCTGTCGGAGGGGGGCTGGCGGAGCGACACGGCGGGCAGCAGGCAGGCCGCCATCGACCGCATCCTGCTGCCCAACCTGAGGAAGGTGGGGGACTGGGGAAGGGAGGAGGGAGAGAAGTAAGGGAAGAGGCCCGAGGGGTCGAGATTCTGGGAGCACAAACAGTACCGGTAACCTGAATAACCTGAATAACCCGGACAACCCGGAGAGTAACCAGCATGACAAGCGCTACGCCCCGTAAGGGGCAATCCCCAGCCCCGGTCGAAGCCTCCTACCCACTCCCTGCTCTCCCCCCTCACCCCCTCTTCCCCTCCCCCTGTTCCTTTACCCCTTGCCTTGCCCTCGCTTGTGGTTTGGTGTCTCTGGGCTTTCTTTTGCCCCGCCCGCAGGAGATGGGCGACTGGTTCAGGGAGGTGCTGGCGCTGGCGCTGGCCCCCGGGCTGCGGCGGGGGGGCGCGTCGGTGCCGCCCATCATCGACCACACAGACCTGGAGGTGAGGGGGAGAGAGAGTGTGGGGGGTGCGGGAGGGAGGAGGGGTAACAAGGAGAAACCAATTACGTGTGTTAAGAAAGCAGGCTTCGAGAAAGCAGGCTTCGTACTGTGGGGGAGGGGCGGGAGAGAGGAGGGGCTGGGATTGATTGAAGGCAGCCACGAGGGAGGGGTGGGGGTGGTAGGCGGGGCCGGGGTGACATCATGGGGTGCGCTGGCCTACCCTACCCCCCAGGCCTCAAGCCCTCCCACTCCCCAACCTAACTCTTCCTCCTCCCACCCGCCCCGGCTCCCTCCCTCCCACCCGCAGGCCTACCCCAAGCTCTCCTGGCTGGCCATTGAGAACCTGCTGGTGGTGCAGGACAGGTGGGGGGCGGGGTGTTGGTCACAGTGCGGTCACAGGACTGGCAGCGCGCGAGGAAGGACTTCCTGCGATGTATCCTACTGTGTTCTGTTTGCACAATGGGGTGTGCGTTGGGAGGTGCGTTGGGAGGTGCGTTGGGAGGTGCGTTGGGAGGTGCAGGTGGTGAGGGGTAGTGGCGTGGATGATCCCCCTTCCTGCACCCTTCCCTTCAGCACCCCAGTCCGGTCCCCCCCGCCCCCCCCCCCCCCCCCGCAGGTACACCCACCCCGAGCGCCGTACGGGCTTCATCGCAGCCGACCACGGGGACCTGTGGCGCTACGACGGCTGCGCGCGCTACGTAAACCGGGAGCGGCATGTGGGCTTCAGCGAGAGGCGATTTGCGCTGGAGTTCAGGTGGGGGCGGGGGGCGGGGCGGAGCGGGTGCGGGAGCGGCGGCGAAAGGGGAGGGCGGCGGAGCGGAAACGGGCGTGGATGTGGAGAGAGCACACACATGGGCGTGGGGTTCCGCGACCTGCCCCACACCTTCTTCACCCACCCTCCTCCTCCTCCTCCTCACCCCCCCCCTCCACACTTTCGGCCCCCCACTGTTCCAGGAACGCCGCCTGGCAACGTGCCGGCCTGCCGCCTCCGCCTGCCTGGCAGCCCGGCTCCCCGCCGCCCGCCCCCCTGCCCGGCAGCCCCGCCCTGCTCACCCTGCTGCTGGCGCATGATGATTACCCACTGGTGAGGGGAGGAGGGATGAGATAAACTGGGTCGCGGAAACACGCGTGAGGAGGGGAGGGAGGGGAGGGGGAAGGAAGGACAAGGGACATCATTGGGGCAGTTATAGGGCTGAAGAGCGTTAGTGTTATCCCACACATGATGCCCCTCTTCTTAATCTCCGTCCCTTCCCGCATATCCCTCTCCTGCCTTCCCTCCCCCACCTCCCCCCAGCTGGTCAACTGGCGCGAGGTGCAGTCGCTGCTCCGCCGCCACGCCGCCCCGCTGGGCCTCACCGCCCGCACCATCAGCCTATCCACCGACGCGCCCTTCGCCGCGCACCTAAACACGCTTGCGGCCAGCCGAGTGGTGGTGGCGCGGCATGGACCGCTGCTGGCCACCGCATCACTGCTGGCGCCGGGTGGGAAGGGAGCTGGGAGGGGAGGGAGGGGAGGGAGGGTGCAGGGAGGGAAAAGAAGAATACCCGATGCAGGGAGCAGCGAGGGAGGGGACAGGGAGGGGAGGGAGGGAACAGGGAGGGGTTGGGGTATAATGGAACGAGGTAACGCACCGAGGGGTTGGATGGAACATGCCCAGCCAAAATGAAGAAACCCGTAACCCAACTAACCCGTAACCCACGTCTCACCCCACGTCTCATCCCCCCCCGCGCGCATGGGTCCCCAGGCTCAGCGGTTGTGGAACTGCTGCCTTACAAGTGGGAGTGGCTGGGTATCTCGCAGCTCTACATGAACGCCACGCAGAGTGTGGGCGACATCCACCACTTCGCGTGGCGACCCTCCGACTTCCGATTCGCACACTACGAGCACGAAAACCACACTCGGTGAGGAGAGAGGGGTGTCGGGGATTGATGGGGGTTGGGGATGGATTATTAGGCGGAGCAAAAAGAGGAAACTGACGAGCTGTATGACGAGGCTTCACCATTCAGAAGGGGGTGAAGTCGCGAGTTTCTGTGTTCCCTTGCTGCCTTGCTGGGGCATTGGGAACGTGTGCCTATCCTTCATTACCTCCATCCCTACGTCCATCCATCTTCCATCCCTCTCCTCCATTCCCCGCCCCAGCTACCGCACCTGGACCCCCGAGGAGTGCAGCGCCCGGGAGTGCCTCATGGTGCATGCGCGGGCGGGGCTGGAGGTGGACATTCAGGTGGGTCCTATGGTTTGGCACCATAGGGCCGAACCATAGGAAACCACAGGTTGGGGCAAGACAATGGAGATGGGAGCGGTAGGGTGCCACAAAACAAGTATTGGTGGGGGGGAGGGGGAGGAATGGAGGGAGGGAGCGGGGGAGGGAGGGGAGAAGGATGGGACAGACCAAACGCATCCTGATGGTGCAACCTGGTGCAAGAGGAGCTCTGGAGTAGTCCTGCACACTGCGCCCAAGCCCCATGTCCTCCTAAACCTCTTCTTACCTTACCTTTCTTACCCCCCCCCCCTTATACCCCTCCGCCTTCCCCCCCTTTCCCTCTTCCCTCCCCCCAGGAGCTGGACTCGCTGCTGTCCGCCAAGCTGCCCGGGGTGGTGGCGGGGCTGCCCGTGGAGAAGCTCAGGGCGCCCTGGCCCAAGGCGGTGTGAGGGCAGGTGGGGGGAAGAGGAAACTAACGAGCTGGAGCTGACCTGCTGAGGCAGATGGGGAGGGGGGAGGGCCGCAATGACATGGAGGAGAGGGTGACTGCGTGTTTGGCACGGTGCATGGCAAGGGGGCATCCTCGGGTTGCTGCTCGTATCGGACTCGTATCTCCCCGCGTGCGAAGCGTGCTGAGAGGGAGGCGGCTGGCGAGACTTGCTGAGGTGTGCTGAAGCTGAGTATGGCGTACGACATGGGCTTTGGCACGTGCTATTTGCTTAGCTTGAGATGAGGTCAAAGGCGTGCTACGGTTTAAGGTTCCGGTGTGTGAATACGGTCAAGCGCGGGCGTAGGGGAGGCGAGAGGGTCCCAGTGTGGTCGAGGAGGGTTGCCGCATGAGGAGCGTGAGGAGTATTTGGTTACGCATGGACATGACAACCGTCGGATGTGTGGATCACAGCTGGTTTGCGGGCTGGAATGGAGAGAAGGACGGGCGTGTGATTCATGGTGGTATTGCGGCAAGCGGAGTTGTGTGAGGGACGGTGCGTGAAGTTCAGGAAACGCAGCGTCAGGTTGCACAGCCAAGCGATTAAAAGAGCGAGCAAGCATTGCCTTTCACCAATGCTGATCTAACGTCAGATCCCGATAGCTAGCCCGGCGCGCAAACGCCACGTTGGATGTTGACTTGGAGCACCATGTGCCATTGACAACAATGAAAGGTTTAACGCTCCAGCGGTCATTCTCTGTTGTCCGCTGCTGCGCTTGCGCAAAGCTACTTGCCATGCGATTGCATACTGGCGTTGCAACATACGGGTTGCCGATGTCCGGCTGTAACGTCTCTCGTGCTTGCAACGATGCCTGGGACAAAATTGCAACCATGCCATGAAGCGGTGTTTTGCGTCCCGTGCGCTATCCACATGCGTGCACGTTACACCAGCAACTATGCAAAGGACCCTTGTCACGGCAACAAAGGAGCCGGGCTGGGAAGGAGCATCATGTACGGCTGGAGCCGCACCGCATGAGGCGACCTGACCACCCCACATGCACATCCTCCCCTCCTCCGAATGCCGGTACGACTTCCGCCCATGCCGTTGTGCTGTGAGAACGTCTTTTCCACTACCTGCCAGCACACTAGGAGCCCCAAACACCCCCTCACATGCCCACCTCGCCTCCGAAGACAACAGGGTGCAGAGCCGTTATGCGGAAACATTATCCGTGACAAGAAGGTGCGTGTATTCACGTGGCCCTCCGCCCTAACATGCGTCAACCACAAGCAACCCAGCGGGAACTCGCATGATGACCTCTTTGACTATCAGCGCAGCTGTGTGACTCCAAAAGCATTCCAACATTCTCCAACCCCCAAGAAAACGGCCCCGCGCGGCTCACTCCGCAGGAAGCCGGTTTCGCCTTCCCATTTCATAAAGACCAAAAACATAACGAGGCAATTGTATACGGCCACGTGCATGGCGCGCCGTACTCGTATTGCCCCCATCGGCTCTAAATTCCCTGCATGCGGGCAAATGCTGAGTTGCTACCATCGTTGGATGGGCGCCGCAACCCTTACCTTAACAGACAACCTGCCTCCTTTTTCGCTATATCGGGCTCCTACAAATCCACAACTAACGAGCTGCTATGTTCAAAGCTACCCTAGACCCTTTAGCCGTGCAGAAACGGTCTTCTCTCTCTTTTCTTGCCCTTGCGCTGAAGCCACAGTAAACAGTGCATACCGGCAGCATATCTCTCTCCCCAAACCCAATGCGACAACATTCCCGCACGTAACCTAGTCCTCCCTGCACCGGACCTTACAACCCTTCCCCTTCACTGCCCGCAATCTCCTTCCTACACCCCTTCGCCATATCGTAGCACGTCTGCACTAAACTATTGCCGCACAGCTGGCCACTGCTATCGGCTCTCCTGGGATCGGACGCCGCCTGCTACCGTTCATCAAACACACACGCACGTGCATGCACGGCCACCGCCCTCGTCAGCGCGCTGCTGGGCACATGCCTCCCCCACGGACACACGTACAGGCAGGCTGCCATGCCTCCTCACGCCCTACCTCACACGCCCTCCCCCGTCCGCCGCTAAGCCAAGGCTGCCCCTAATAGTGCTACCGGTACTAGTGCTGCTGCTGCTGCGATGCCCGCTGGTAGAAGAGCAGGTAGGGTCGCTCTGCCAGCACCGCCGCCTCCGGAACCACGTCCACCACCGCGTCGTTGAAGCGCAGCCAGCGGCCGTCCGGCTGCAACACGTCGGCAGTGTAGTGGCCGCCTGGGTGGAGAGTTGCAGGGGGCGATGAGGACGGGAGGAGAGGTGTGTAGTTGAGTAGGACAAGAGCAAGCAATTGGGAGGTGTGGGGGGGGCCTTGCTGCCATGCATGCATGCATGCATGGACCCCTCTCCCTCTGTCTCAGAGCTCACCCGACACCCGTCCAATGCTCGAACCCCGTGGTAGCCAGCTACCGGTACCGCACCAACATCCTGCCCCAGCCCAAACGCACCCGCGATGTTGCGTCCGTGGTGTATGACGGTGGCGAACAGGCGGTACTCGGAGTTGGCCCGGTCGGGGCAGTCCTCCGCTAGCACCTGTACGGCAGCAGGTCAAGTACGGCAAGAAGTACGACAGCAAGGTATTGTACGGCAGCAAAGTGTTGCACGGCAGCAAAGTGTTGCACGGCAGCAAAGTGTTGCACGGCAGCAAGGACTTGCACGGCAGCAAGGCCGTACGGCAGCAAAGCAAAGCAAGTCGCTACTTTCAGCGGCCATGGTCATCGTTTGCCCACGTTTTGGGTCCATCACTGGTGAACGCGGCAAGGCCCATGGTGGAGCCTACATGCCACATGGTCAGCCCCTCTCCCTCTCCCTCTCCACCCACCTTGCCCTCCAGCCTCAGACTGCACCCGAAGGCCACCGATTTGTGGAGCTTGCTGTAGCCACCTCCCCCCGCCGCCGTGTAGGTGTAGGTGAAGCGCTTCAGGTGCAGCACCAGCACCTCAGGCAGCCGGTACAGCCGCACGTCCTTTTTGGCGGGCAGCATGCAGGCGGCGCCGTCGGGCTTGTACTCTGTGGCGGAGGATAGAGGAGAGGTAACAGGTAAGGGAAAGGGGTAGCTGAGTTGTGTCACAAGTGCTCAGTGAGCACTGCTCACCATAGCAGTGTGGAAGACCCAGGGTTCAAGGAAGAGGCATCAGTCCCGTGAAGCCTCGTCCTCTCGTTACCTCGCATCTTCCGTCTGCATCCTGGTAAGAATCCCAATTCCTCCCTGCCCACTCCCACCAGTCCGCCACAACTCCTCCCGCACCAGTCATCACCCCCGTTCCCCACCCTCCTCGATCCTCACCAATGTTCTCCGGCAGTGAGTGGTGCCGCAGCGCCTCCTCCAAGCTGCTGACCCCCTCCGCCGCAATGTCCAGATGCAACATGTTGAATCCCTCAATGGTAGCGCTGGGCTTGTAGTGCGCATGCGGCGCCGAGAACCGCACCGTGCTCTTGAGCAGGCCGGTAAAGATGGCGGACACGGGGGAGCGGCAGGAGGCGTCGTCCGCGGGAGCGCCCACCTGGCGCGTGACGGTGGCCTTGTTCTTGCGGCCCACCTGTGCCCACTCGTCACCGTCGGCATTGCCTGGTGGGGGGGTTGGGAGTGGTTGCTCTAGTGCGTGAAGCCGGCGTGTTGCAACATCTTAGGTTGTTCCCACACTCGTGTTCCAGGAGGTGCCTCGGTGCTGGATGTAGGATGGAAACGCTGCCGGAAAGGACGGTTCCCAGAAACAGGCACGTCCCACGCATGCTGCATGCCTAGCACGCTAGCAGCTCACCCCTTCCTCAGCACCCCGACTGCCTACCTCCATCCGCGCCGCCGCCCGCACTAGCCCCACTGCCGCCGGCGCCCGCTGCCGCCTCAGGAACCAGCCCATGTGCCTTCCGCAGCGCCACCACCTCCTCATGTGCGCGGTTTACCAGGAACTGGAAGAACTCCTGCGCGTCCTGCTGCTCCTGCTGATCCAGCAGAGCGGCGCGACCCATGGGTCCACCCTTGGACACGAGCTGAAGACGTGGGGACACAAGAGAAAGAAGAACAGCGGCGTTAGCGTTAGGGCTGGGGAAGGTGTTGGTACAGGACAGGGGTCAGTACTGCAATCGCTCAATTCGCGGCTATAAATTGGCGGGTATGAAAGGGAGGACTGCTTACCTGTGCCATGGAGGGCCGCCCTGCTCCGCCGCCCACTGTTGTTGCCGCCGGAGCAGCAATGGAGATGCGCGGGTTGAAGGCCGCCACGATGCCATTCAGCATGGAGGGAACCAGCGGCTTACCGCCCAACACCACCGCCATAGCCGCTGCCGTTCCGGCGGCGGCTGCGGCAGCTGTGGTAGAGGAGGAAGAAGAGGAGCCAGCTGCCGTTGCGGCTGCGACTGATGCCGCTGCTGCGGATGCGGCTGCTGTTTGCTGCGCGTGCTGGGCGAGTTGGTGGTGGAGTGGCGCGTAGGTGGAGGTGCTCTTACGGCCGCCGCCCTTCTTGCCTCGGCCGCTCTGAACGGACGACACAAGAGGGAGGGAGGCACACAAGCCATTAGTAAAGGACGGCCACGCACCTCTTGCAACCTTTCTTAATATTGTTGCGAAGACATGGCCGAGGGTCGTTCCGCGACCACCTTCAGTAGCCCTACCCAAGACCAGCGTGATTGCAGACTCCCAAGATTCCCGTTTCTCAAACCCCTAAGTGACCCTTCCCAGCACGAGACCCATCCCGCTGCATGCGCCACTTAACACGACTACACAACAACCAAAGCCACACTCACCGACACCTCAGCCCAACCGTCGTCCTCCGCCGCATTCGCCTGCGAATCCGCCTGCTCCCCAGCCCCTGCCCCTGCGCCACCCGCCCCGCCGGCTCCCCCGCCTGCCTGCCCCCCTGCTGCCACCGCAGCAAGCTCCGAAGCCAGCTGTGCTAGACCGAACAGGGTGGGCGTCTTGGCGGGCTCCAGGAGGGGGGCCACAGCGGGAAGCCGGGAGAGTACAGCAGCAAAGGGACCGCATGCGAGGAGAGCCTGCATGTGGTAATGGGCGCGAGAGCGAAGGAGGTTTTACGTGTACATTCTCGGGAATGGTGAGAAGCGGCTCGTCATGGTGGCCCGCGGCAACAGCTAGGCGACTGGGTTGCAGTGCAATTGGACCGCCTAGGACTGGAAACGTCATCCTACAATGCCTTCAAGCACACACGAGTACGAGCTCCCGCCTCACCTGCATCGTGGAGTTGACGAAGCAGGTATTGCCGGTGTTCACAAACCCACGAGGCTGCAGCCGCACCGCCGTACCGCCTCCGTTGCCGCCCTGCTGCTGCCGTACAGCGCTCAGCCATTGCTCAGCTGTCATTGGCGACAGCATCTGCCGTAGCGCTCCTACGGCATCCAGGTCCGAACCGCCAGCCGCGCGCACGCCAGCGGAGACGCCAGCTGCAGCGGCGACGGCGGCGGCTGCCGCCACGTCTCCATCCTCACCAGCAGCCTCCAGAAGGTCCCATGGGTTCTTACCAGCTGGGATGGCAGCAGCAGCGGCCTTCTCCTCCTCGTCCTCCTCCTCTACTTGGTCCTTCTTCTGCTCCAAGTCAGCAGTCACCGGCGCCTCGCTGGCCGCCACAACCGGCTGCTGCGCCTCGGTGCTTGCCTTACTGTCAAGTACGGGAGCGGAAGTAACAGTGGGTACAGCAGCCGCGGGTTCCGCCGTCGCCGATGCTTCCGCCGCTGCTGGCTCCAGCGGTGCTGGCGACTGCGCCGCAGGCACAGACGCCGGCGCTTCAGGCACGACGCCAGGGACCTCAGCCGCCGGCTCAGGGAGCTTCGGAACTTCCGGTTCCGCTAGCACTGGCTCGTCCGGGGGTGTTGGGACCGCCCTGGGCAGAGGCCCTACAGCACCAGGAGGAGGCTGCGGAGGTACGGTCGCGGCTGTGTCGGCATGAGGGGCAGCGGCTGCGGCGGCAGGTGGTGCCGTAGCTGAGGCGGCAGCCTTCCACTGACCCTTGCCAGGGCGGCTTGGCGCAGCAGCGGCGGCTGCGGCAGCAGGGCTGGCGGCAGCCGCCTCATGACCTGCGTGCGTGGGTGAAGGCGCAGGGCTGAAGCCACCCGCGCTGCCTGGCTCCTCCGTATGCCGGGCATGTGTTTGGGTCTGCACTTGGGGGGGCGCTTGTGGCGGCGGCTGGGATTGCATGCGAGCGGCGGCAGTGGCGGGCGCGGTGTGGTTCTCAAACAGCCCCTTTGGAGGCAGCGCCGATGGGCGTTGATGCGACGCCGCGGCGGTGGTTGATGACGACGCGGTGCCATGGCGGCCGTGGCGGCCGCCGCCGCCGCCAGATCGCTGTTGTTGTTGCTGGAGGTGTGCGGGGCCGCGGCCTTGGCTGGCTGGAACTGTCCGTGTCTGCGGCTTTGGCGACGATGTGACCGTGGCCTTAGCGGCAAGCGCAGCCCACGAGCGCATTCCTGACGAGGCTGCTGCGGCGGCGGCTGCCGGGGCATCCTCAGCTGGAGGCGCTGCCGTACTTGGTTCGGCCGTACTAGGTTCGCCTTCGACAGCACCTGGAGCAGCAGCAGGAGCGGCAGCAGTAGCGCTAGCGACTGACGGAGGAGCGGCAGAGGCAGACACCTCGTCGGTTGCTGGGCGCTGTGCTTGCTCAGAAGTCGCCTCTGCGGTCACCACTTGTACGGCAGGTCCCGCTGCTGAAGCCGAGGCCGATTCCGAGCTGCTAGGAACCGCTGTCGGTAACGCAGCTACGGAGCTTGGAGCTGGGACCGATGATACGCCGGAAGGCGCTGCCGCGCCGCCTGCAGCTGATGCCACGGGCACTAGCCCCTCCCGCTGGAGCGGGCTTATGGGTGGACTTGGCCGTATGTGCGGCTTCTGCGGCGCTGTGACCGTGGGCTTAGCGGCAAGCGCAGCCCACGAGCGCAGTCCTGACGGGGCTGCTGCCGGCGCATCGGCTGACGCAGACGCTTCATCTGTTGCTGGGCGCTGTGGTTGCTGGGAAGTCGCACCTGCGGCCGTCACTGGTGCGGCACGCCCCGCTGCCGAAGCCGACCTGCTAAGAGCCGCCGGGGACGCGGTTCCAGAGCTTGGGGCCGGGACCGACGACACGCCAGGTGGCCCAGCTGCGCCGCCTGCAGCTACTGTCTCGGGCGGGGGCCCTTCTCGCTGGAGCGGGTCTACGTCCGCAGCCTGGCTGCCAGGCGATGCTACCGCCGGAACAACGCCATCAGCAGCCACTGCAGGAGGCGGGGCTGCCGCTGCCGCCACCGGCGCCGTCGTCCCTTGCAGCGGTGCAGCGACGGGCGCTGAGGCAGGCGGCTGCGGCTCAACAACTGCAGGTTCCTGTGGTGCCGCATGACCCGCGGGTCGGGCCGCGCGAACGGCAGCCGCATTGCCAGCATTCGTGGGCGCGGCCTGGGCCGCATGCTGCGCTCCGCCTGCGGAGGCCCTGCCATGGGGCTGTGAGGCAGCAGAGGCTGAGGGCGGCGACGTGGGTTGCGCTTTTCCGGGGGGCACTGGGCCGGCGCTGGCAGCGGCTGTGGCTGAAGCGCCCCCTTCGGATCCAGGCCGACGAGGAGCCCTGCAAGCAGGAACAGCAGGAACGGGAGCGGCTTGTTACGTAACTGCGTACACAGTGAGAGGATGCGTCCCGAAGCATGCGGACAGTGTGCCGGTATGCGCCAGTAGGGCTTGCGCTACATACTTGAGAGCTTCGACCTTCCTTGGAGCCCGGAAATAACCACGGGCCGGCCACCAAAGTCAGATTCATTCACTGCAAAACGCTACACCTCAGCCGTCCTCAGGCGACCCAACCCCTCTCACCCGTGGTGCGGTACTGTCACCGGAGGCTTGGAGGCGATAGCAGCCCAGCCTTTCGGCGCCGCCGGCGGCGCTGCAGCTTGGGCAGCGGAGGAGACGCCTGGCACCGACTCAGCCGCCGCCCCAGCAGGCTGCGCGCCACCTGGACTTCCCGCCGCCGCCGCCACATGCTGCTGCTGTGCAACTGGCGTAGCAGCTCCGCTGCTGGTAGCCGATGAAGACGGCTCCGAAACGGCCCCTACAGGAGCAGCCTGCGGGTGCCGAGCCGCTGCTTCCGACGGGGGAACATGATGCGCGGCCGCCTTTTGGTGCGCCGCCGTGGCTCCTGTTGCCGAGGGCCCTGTGGGCTTACCAGCAGCAGTCGATGCACCGCCACGCCCTGCGGTTGCGGCGGGACCTGCAGACGAGGAACCTACGGCAGGCGCAGCTGAAGGAGCCGTGGCTGGTGCAGCCGTTGGCGCACCTGCAGGGGCTATGGGCGGGAAGCCCGGTGGAGGCCCCGCGGCAGCCCTGGAGTGACCTGCAGCGGGGGCCGTCTGGGCTGGGGCGGGTCGGTTCTGCAACCGCGGTGGGTTCGCGGCTGCCGGCCCATGGCCAGCCACCGGGGCAGCTGCCGGCGGCGCCACAGCCGCCGCCGCGCTGCCGGCGGCTGTCTGCATCCCGGCCGCTGATGCGCCGCCTGAACTGGTCTTCCGCAGCTGCTGCTGTTGCTGTTGCCTCTGCTGTTGCAGCACGACCTGCGAAACTGGCTGGGGAAGGTTTGTGTTGGGGGAGAAGAGGGCCGTTGCAGCGCGTTGCTTCCATACACCTCCGCCAGGGACAGGCTTATCGGCCGCTGGCTGGGGTTGCCCAGTCGTTGCAGCCGCAGACTGCGCATCAGCTGGGGCTGCTGCCGGCGCAACGCTGCTAGAAGCCGCAGGCGCCCCTTGGTCCTTGGTTTCGGGAGCGGTGCTAGGCGGAGGGGCTGCAGCGCCGCTGGCCCGGCGCTCCTCACCGGTCGGCATACTGGCGGCAACAGGCGCAGGCTGCTGAGAAGGTGATTGCCCAACTCCAACCGCACCAGTTGCGTCCGAGGATGCCGACGGACCGCCCTCCGCTCCGCTCGCCACGGCTGCCGCAACCGCTGCTGCTACCTGAGCACTTGCAGGCATGTGGGTCTCCGGCAGAGGGGCTGCTGGGGTTGCTGATGATGCCTGGGCTTGCCGCACCGGCTCGCTAGGTACCGCCTCGGCGGCGGCCGCGGGCACGGGAGGCGGCAGCACTGCGCCTGAGGGAGCTCCTGCTCCGGCATCTCCGCCTGTCGATGGCGGTGCAACGGCTAAGGCGTCAACCGGAGACGCCGCCGATTCCCCTGTCGAAGCGCCGTTGTTGGCAAAAGGGGCTTGGTCCGCCGCTTGAACGCCGGCACTGTGACCCAATTCGCCAGCATCCGCGGGTCCGCTACTACTTTCCACCGCGTCGCCGCTTCCGGTGCCGCTACGTGCAGATGGCGGCACCTGCAGTGGCGCCGGCTCTCCAGATGCGGACGCTCTCCTTGAAGTTGCCTGCACATTGGCAACGTGGCTGGATGGCTGCTGCCTAGGCCGCCCCAGGCTGTTCATGCCCGAGCTGGTAGGCTCTGTGTGGGGGGCCGCGCTCGTGACTAGAGGCTGCGGCACGTGGGGGGGGCGCGGGGCCTTCCGGTTGTAGTTGCTGCCGCCACCTGCCCCGCTGCTGGGGCCAGCGGAAGGGCCTCTGCTGCTGTCCAAGTTGCGTCCTGCGCCCCCTCCTCCGTGAGCCCAGGCGCCAGCCGGTTGTGCTGGGCGCTGCGGTGGTGGGGGCTGAAGGCCTGCCCCTTGCGGCATGCCGTTCCTGGCGATGCTGCCCGGCCCAACACCACTTCCCGCTCCGCGGTTCACAGGATGTGGGACTGCGCCGCCACCATGTTGTTGAACGAATTGTTGCTGTGCATACGCATGTTGCTGCTGCTCTCTGGACACAGCAGGTCTCACGTAAGTTGGGGGCGC